AACAATTCTTGTTCGGCAGGTTGTTGGATGCTTTGAGCATATAAACACAGTCCATGAACCAGAGTCAGTACTTCACGCTGACTATCCTAACAAGCTTGTTTTAAAAAAGAAACAAAAAAAAGGAAAATATATTTTTTTTGTAGAGGTTTATGAGTTGCTGAAAGTTTATGCTTCTAAAACTTGCGGGAGCCTTTTACTTAGCTCAGGGCTGTAGGCTGCAAAAAAGTTTTGGTACATGGCAGCTTGTTGCTTTCATAAAAGAATATAGCTCATAACTTTTTGTTAAAAAATGGTGTTGGGCAGGCGCTGCTAAACTTCTTGCCAGTTTTAATCAAGGCTAATATAGTGGAGGTACAGTACCCATTCTTGAAGGAGACATGAAATAGGCTTTGAATATGTGTAGGAAAGCTTTCTGGCTATATCTAGGGCTTTCCATCTCCTTTGTGACAGTAAAAGGGAGAAACTTCAACATTTTGGTTTTATGCCAATAAGGGCAATTTCCATATTTGTGAGCTAGAGCTTGCTGTCATCCAAGGCAGGACAGTAATGGTCTTATTGCTCTGTGTTCAATATATAGCACAATTTTCTGAAGTTTCTTCCAGCAAGTTCCACTTTTTACTTGTTTATCTTGTTGAACAGCTTTGAAGAATAGAATTTTAGAAATAGCCAATATTTCTTCAAAACTTTGAAGGGGGGCAATTGTGAAGGGCAAATGTTTGTTTTTTCTCTAATGCTCTTTTGACAAGTATTGCCTCGTGTGATGAGAAATTTGTATTCAGAGGATTTTCTGAGAATGGAAAAACTGACACTATTTTGTCAGTTTTAATGAAAAGAAGTATTGAGATTTTGTTCGTGTTACTGTTACACATAGTAATGCATATGAAAACAAGTTGAGTAGAAAGTCCACTGCATGTTTCCAGTAATCTCATACATGTATGTGGTGTGTTGCTGATACTCTAAGTTGTTTCTGTCTCTTGTGCCTGAGCTTTATCACATCTCAGCCTTTATTCTGTTCACGATTTTTGAAACCTTTTTTGGTGTTTTGATGCCATGCTGATTTTTGGATCATTATGTTTCAATAGTTGGGTGATTTGTTCCAAGTGTCCTTAAACTACGGATGTTCAGTCCAACAGGGAGAACTTTCCGTTCTTACTTCAGCCTAACGTTGAACAGTACATGCAGCAAGGGCTGCAGAAAATTACCCCATTGGTCGAAAAAGTTCAACTCAAATGTGACACTGTGAATATCATTTAGAAATAATTGTTGATTATAACTTGAAGTGTACAGAAATAAGAGTTCCCTAAATTGGAGGTTGTGTAGTTCCTATGGGAATGAAAATGTTGATGGGGGACATCTGACCAATAGTGGCCTTTGATTGCCAATTGTCATTCACATTACGGATATCTATTCTTAGGAGGTGAGGTCCTGTACATCACTTAGCATGTTCAAACTTGATGAATCTAAAGGCTGGGCCTGCCTTGACCAAAAAAAAAAGTCTTAGGAGCCAAGCAAAAAACATATTCGGTTTGCCTGAATTAATAATGAACTCGGAAATGCACACGAGCATGAAGAATGGATGCATTTTTAATGGAGCTTGGTGGCATGGCTTTCAATCATCAGAAGGACTTGGCACTGGGTCCAGTGGGATTTGCCCAGGCAAGGAGTAAAAGTACAGTTGCTTCAACAGCCTGTCTCATCGGGACTTGTGTCAATTTTTTTTTGAGGCAGACGTACAAGTCATAGGCAACTTGCCCTGCACTCTTTTATGAAAATTAAAGCTATAATTGATTTTTCTTGGCTTTATAATCCGGTTGATATTGTTCCTACTTAGGCCTTGCAATATCAAATTATCCCTGGAGTTTCCAGAGATTTGAAAGCAGATCGGATTTCGGAAGACCAAGACATCATCAATCAGAGAATCGCAATAAAGGGGCATTGAGACACAGCTATCAGTCACTTTTCTGGTCCAATCAGTCACTTTTCTGGTCCAGGCAGACTGGATTCAGGCCTTTGGGGAAGAATGATAACTGAATTCGGCATTTTGTTAGACAATCTTCAAAGTGCATGAACTTGGGACGATTGTGCTTGTGCCGCTATCGAAATAGGAAAAGAAAATGAGAAACCTTCACTTGATGTAGCAATTTAGGTCTGGACTGAATGTACAAAAGGTTGTACAATATTAATTGGTTTGACCGAAATTTTTCATTTTCATCTATATTAGAAAGGCACCATTGTCTGCAGTTCAATCCATATAAGATTGCATGCATGTTTAGTGCTGCCTCAACTCGTTTCCTGGGTGAGCAGTTCAATGCTAACACTCTTTAACATTGTCATTATGAACCTTCTATGGTATGGTAGAAGGTAACAATAGATTCTGGTATAGTTACATCATATTCTCAGTTGAAAGCATTGGTTTTACATTTTCTTTGTTGTCAGTTTAATGCACTGATGTTAAAACCTTTGTTTTTTTTCCAAAAGCATCTTTAAATGGAAATTTCATGAGACTTATCTTAAAGTTGAAATCGTGCGGAAAAAATCGGAAGTAATCTCTCCTGGTGATATCGCGACCTTCTGAGAGTGTGATCAGGGCAGGACCTGTGCAGATTGATTGCAAGCATTACGATATCCATGACTGCCTGGGTATTAGGCATTACGCTCATTATTGTTTCAGCGCCCGGCGCGAAGAAAGGTAACTCGGGCTAAACACAACATCAGTCTGAGCTGACTGCTGAGTCACCTTGGTGTTAGACCAAAATGAAAACAAAGAGGGGAACAGTTTAAAGATGGAATGTTTGGTGGTTTCCGTGCAGGTTGCTTTAGAGCAATATGTGGACACTCCATATTCAAAGATGTTTACCATTTTCTGACTGTTTTTTGAGGGATTAGTAATTTCTGTGTGCAAATCCTTTATGAAAAGGAATTAGGTTGGAAGTGGAAAATGAAAAAGGAAAAAAAATCATGATGAAAGCAAGAGCTGTTGAAGGATTGCCACAATGACTTTGTATTTTTGAGCAATCTTTTGTTGTAATTGCTTTTTTTGGATGGTGTGCTTTGACTTTTGATAAGCGTCAGCTCATAGATAACTATAAAATTGGAGAACATTGTTTGAATTGAGGTTGAAGTGGTTCAGACACAAACTGAGTTGTTGGCAAAAAGCACACTTGGAACAGTTTTTTTGGATGAAATACCTAGTGATGTAAGAAATGCAGTGTTTGAAGAAAACTTGAGCGAGGAAATGCAATTTTCAACAACTCCTGCAGACAAAGGTAATGGTGCTAATGATAACGATGGGGAAGATGGCATTAGCAGCTATGAGTCTGTGACAGATTTGAACAACTACATGTAATTACAAAAACAGTGATAGTGATAATGACAGAAACATGCACCTGTAAAGTAACAACTCTCTGCGGATGACAAAATAACTTTAAGACAATAGTAGGGAGATTTGAAAAGTCGTAAAAGAATTTTAGTAAATCACATTGAGTAATGAAATTTGAGTAGAAAAATTCCAACAAATTAATTTTGCAGATAGAATGCTTTAGCTTTGTTGGGTATGGTATTAACCTGCCTGATACATGTTTGTAATGAATTATGTAACAGCACTGGGATTTGGCAGACATATCAAGATAAAACAAAATGGAAGTATCTGTTTAAAAGCAGTACATTTTTGTAAAGAATTATGTAATAGCACCGGGTTTCAGAAGACATATCAAGATAAAACAAAATGGAAGTATATATTTATCAGCAATAATCAATATCAATTATTGAATGCACGAGATATCCTGGTCAAGGTTTGTTTAAAACTGTATTTCCTTACAAGTGTACACCACCCACAAACATGCATTTAATTCAATAGCTGGAGTTTCTCTTAACATTGTAACATATTTGCACATGGTGTGTTTGCTCTTGGCGTGGAAATGGACACCTGTTTACGACAGCTTCAGGCTTTCTGTGCCCCCCCAACAAACAGGATTTTGGGGTTGTAGTGTTCAGCCATGACAACAGCCAAATCAATTTGAAATAGCAATTGGCAAAGTGCTGTTTGCATTATTTGGATACCCGCCTCAATGTTTGTGCAAACGTATTTAAACATCAAAGGGCAAGGCAGGCCGATACAGTGCAATACAGTCTGCAGACTGGCTGTCAGAATATTATGTTATTGTGTTAATCATTAGTGCTGATATGCTCATCTCTATGACCTGACAAATGTGTTTTGCCTATGTGCATAGCAGGCTTTCAAGTACATCTTCATGCTGGTTATACAAATACATGTATGCATTCCTCTCAATTTGGCAGCCATTTTGGGTTCTAGGTACAAATATACATGTATGTGTATGTGATATTCATTTTTTCTTGCGTGCTGCAGAAGTCAGTTTAGCCATCACTTTCAAAACTGTTTTATGAACTTCCCTTTTTTTTCTCCTCCAATCTTGCTCATTGGCTTTATCCTTTTCCTGTGACACTTTTTCCGTTTTATAATGTAGTGTGTACTTGTGTACATGAACCAATTTCAGATCGAGGGGTTTTTGTGAAAGATGCATGGTGTTCTGGCCAAGTTTTGAGTCATGAATTTTTTTTTGGGGGGGGGTTGATGTCTACATGTACAGACTCAAACAGGAACGTTTCAAGCAGTAAACTTTGATGTTGAATACTTGCATGACACTATATAGGGTGGGAAATTTCAGATTTGTCCCCCCCCCAATAATGTGTACATATTTTGGTCATACTGAGAGGTTGGTCTCCAGGTCTGCGTTGTACCTTCCTCATGTCAGTTTAAGCACAAGTTTCCTGCACAGTGGTGGATTTTACAGGATTTAGGAAGGCTCCCTGGCCAAAGAAAAAGGCTAATGGAATGATAATTATTAAAAGGGGTATCAATTTATTTCCCTGATTAAAGTTATGGCCTTGTAAATCCAGTATTAAGGTGCTCAGAGAAGGATATGTTCACATGAGATCTTATACTTTGTTCTCGTCTCTTCTTTCTCTCCCCTCTTGCACAGTAGTCGGCCGGGCAGACCTCCTAAGCGCAGCCTGCCCATGTCCCTGTCACAGACGGTTCACATGCTACACGGCCTCGGACATGGAGACCCACTCAAGAAGCCCAAGATTGAAAATGGTAAAATGAAAGCCCTGACACTAACTGTTTTTCCCTCCCACTGGTATCTACACACCCCTCCCCCTTGGTTCCCCTACTGGCACTGGTGTTGATGGTGCAGTAATGTTTGTTTGATTTGATGGGGGAAAAAGTGAAAAAGGGCCCTCTACATTCCTGGTGAAAATACAGTGTACACGTACATGTACATAAGTAGGTTTTTTCACTGGTCAATCAATGGTTAATCTCCATTAACTCTAAAAAGGGGGGGAGGCTCTCGACACCATATTTTTATGTCAGCGCTGTTCAAATTGGATAGTATCCTATTTGTGCAGCCTCTGGCCACATGGAAGACACCCCTTCCAACTTAAAAGTCATAGTTATGCAGATGTCTTACGCTCCCCAGCCTAGCCTTTTCCAGATATGGCTCAGAGAAGCATTCTGGCAAGACCACCTCATGAAATTATAAGACTGCCCAACTGTTGCCTGACCTGCCCTCTTCAAACCTGCCCCTGTTCAATGTAAACACTTCATGGGAGCTTGCAACTCTTGTGGGAAACGTTTCCTGTTCATACACTCCTGATGTTCATTATCAAAGTGGATGATTTACTTGTCGGGCATAATGGAATTAGACAAGCAGAAACGTCTCAACACTCCAATTTTCCCCCTGCAAAAAATAATTGCTTTGGGGACCGGGGTCTCGCGTGAGAAGAAAATGAGGTTGTCTTGAGTGGGCAGTTTCCATCCAGCCAATGATACCAAGGATTGTGTTTGTGTTTACAGGAGTAAACATCACCGTTGACCACATGGAATGAAATGTCAAAATCTGGAAATATGGCTGTTTCTTAAAAAGAAGTCCCAATGAAAAAAGTCATGTAAAAAGTATGACACTGTCAGTTCCACAGAATGTATCCTTTATACATTGCAAAGGACCTTCTGTTCCTTCTGTTCCTGAACAAATTGGACTGCAGTTGCAGCATTCTGTAGTCACTAATTGATACTGCCATTACTTCTAATATTAGAATTAGAATATTACTGAGCCATAGAGCATGGAAACATTTCATGTGATGACTGCTGCATGTATTTCCCAAGGTCAATTAATATTTCAACCGACACGCTGTTTGTAATTGAGTATGATGCATAAACTGTTTCTCATACAAAGAAATGAGGAATAAATGGAGATTGTGGTGGTTTACACGTCTCGCACTGTTACCCAAGGAACGCCCATTCCCGAACCTGTTTTGAATATTTAATGAGATTATGTTTTATGTTTCCCAGTGCGCCATATTTTGATATGCCAACCATGTTTACTCAAAAGACACCTGATTAAAATCAATGGAGGGGTTTATATACATGGGTTATATATATATGAAGCTACAGTGCCAAATATGCCAATCTGCTAGGAGTTGTCACTATTGGATGGTACAGGTACTTATTGACAGTTAATACCTACCTGCAATGACAAAGGGAGATTAATCCTAACTGAAGGGACTTGGACTGGAGCTTTGGCACTGGGGGAAGATGTCCACGAAGCGATGGCACGATGAGGGAAATGTGGGAGTTTGGGCTCAGCAGTCACTGGAATTGATGGATACAGACGACAGCATTGGCAGAACCGGCCAGGCGTGTGGAGGGCGTGCAGCGCGCTTAAAGACAATGGAAAGGATTACGCGCACCGTGGATTCACGCTGTCAAATAGTGTGAAGGCCAAGGCAATGGGCATTTGGTGTGCCTGTATCAACTGACAATACTGCGACACAGTTTTTCATTTTAAAAAATGGCTTGTTCAGAGGTACATGTATCCCACCTTGCAGTAGGGTTTCACCAACACTACTTCATTGTTGCTAGGTTATTCGAGTTACCTCATCAAGAAAGAGAAAAGGAAATTAAAAAAAGGACTTGAATTTGCAGGAATCAGTTACATGTATTTTGTTATCCCTTAGAAAATGACTTCAGAGTAAAAACCAGATTGATAAATAAAATTGTTTTTCACTTAGAAATCCTTTGTCGGTATGAAATTGAAAGTGCAGGGTGTACATGTTTATTTCTGACAATTCTCATAAAAAATGTCTCAAATGAGGAAGATGAGAAGGCAATAGTCTTTAGACACCCCCATAATGTAGCATGCTTTAATGCTCTATTTAGGAGAATGGTTGTGCTGCATTAATTGAGGGGAAGAAGGGGTTTATCCCACTGATATTTTCTTCCAAGTGCCTTAATTTTGCAGTTGCCCCATTTTTCACAATACCTTTTTTCCCTCGAGTGCTTTTGATTAGTCTTGCGCTGTCTACTTTGGTCATTATGTCCAGATTCACTTTTCCACACTGAATAATCTCATGTTATTGGCAAGCGTACTGCTTCCTTACGCTTTCCTTCTTGAGGCACCACCAATACCACAATGCTGCCCTTGTCTCATTTTAAACACCTTCCATCTTCAACTGAAGCATCCTTTGGCGTGACAAACTCGTGCACTGCAGCCAAGTTGATGTGCAGTGACAGTTACACACCACTAATCACCCGAAGCTGAACAAATTGTTCCACTTTCCTGATCAGCAAGATATAAATACAGCCTCTGGATTGTTGATGCATTGTTGTCCGCATTATGTTCAATAACCATGCAGCATTTCAGCTGAGCATGAAGTCCAATATGTTAAGTCTACTGTTAACAATGAGAACCATTCATAGTTAGACTCTTGATACTTGACACATCAGTCTTGTTCAATCTACTTATCTAGAAATTTATGCAAATACAATATTTTGTAATTTGATTTCTTGCAGCTTGCACATAGAATGCAAGATATCAAAACACCTCTTGCTATAAATAGTATTTAGAAAAGACAGGAGTCCAAAGCCTTACTTTACATGAATACATACATGTATATTTACTCTAATTCCCTAGTGTGTCTGCAAAACCATATTAAAATTTGAGGATTCATTACTATTTGGAATAGCTATGACATGCAATACCGCAGTGATTCAGAAATAATATCAATTGCTGCGCACTTCACTGTGCTGCTTTTCTTACTGTCTGATTGGTCATGTTCTAAAAAACACACGCCTCCGAAATATAGAACTGAAAAACAAAACAACATGCTGGAAGTTCCAAGACTTTCTAGAGCAATTTTGAGGCTACAGTCAGCCCACTGCAGCAACTTAAACTGTGCTGGTAGTCAACAACTTGGGAACAAGTACTCATGGTAGGATATGATAAAACATGTCATTGCTTCGGTGATGTGGCATAATATGGATAAACTTGAGTAACAATAGCTGCATTGGTACAGGTAACATTACCACCACTGCTGTAAACACAGAGACAAAAGCCACTTTTCTTGGCTCTTTTTCCTTGAAGGGCAGAAAAATTAAAAGCACTGGCATTAATGATTTTTACAGCCCAAACCATCTCGGGGAACGAAAGAAAAAGTGCAATGATTTATGCTGTCTGAATTGCCAATAACGTTAATGACATTCTGCTCTCAACTTGAAGTAATTGTCCAGGAGGAGGCAATAAAATAAACTGTAATTATCTGTGACCTTGTGTTGTATCAGTTTGCTCAATATGGCATGTAGAAATGGAATTTGCATAGCCTTGTGCAGTTGTCAGTCTTCCATGAATTCTTTTGTCATACCATGGAGCTTTAAAAAGGAGCTTCATGCACCTGTTAACTATCCCCATCCCCCACCATTGGCACCAGCCCTGCCAGTATGACATCTCCATGGTTACACTCAATGGAAGTTCAAAAAGTGTATACCGTACCTTTATACAGGAGAAACTTTGATAACATTGGGTTATGCAAATGTTTCCTATTTCAGAATACATCCTCACTCCTCATATCCCTAAGATTAAGAAGTAGGCTGTATTCTTTATTCACTTAGGTGATGTATTCAAAAGGACAAAAATACTTTTAAGTTTTACCAAAAGCTGCAGGCAGGAGAACACCAAGGGTTACATTTCTTATGACATTGTAGGGGTGGAGAAAAAGAACAGGAAAATAATTAACAACATGATGCATGTGAAATTAAAAAAAAAGACCACCAGAATTCTGGATATGTAACAGCATTCCTGTCCTTACAAAGAAAAATCCATGCAGCTTTCAAAATACCCTATTTCTTTGCCCTCAGATTTAAACAATAGAGACAATTTTTTTCTGGACACAGTTGGACGCGTCAGTTGTCCCTGGCTGGCCCATCCACAAAGTTGTTTACTGTTGAAAATCTCAAATCTCACAGGGGAGACTGGACAGTGTCTTTCGATATATGTATATGAAGAAAATGTAAGGGAAGCTGGACATTAATCACAGTTTGACAGTGTTTGTGAAGGCTTTGGCAGCACTGACCAAGAGGAAGGAAGGTCAGCGTATTTCAACAGGAGGATGGGATGTATTTACCAATTCCAGATGTGTGTCCTTAGCTCAGAACACTGCCCAGACTGTGCCCATTGTTGTGGCTGTTTTATTTTGGATGTTGTGACAGCCATCTTGGACAACCCTCTTGAAGGTTGCTCATTTTTTCCCATAAAGCGATCCATTGAAACCTCTGACTAGTGGTTTATAACAGCTGTCAAACAAATCCTCAGAACAGCCATGCAACTTTTCCTTTAAATGAGCTGATTTCCTTAAAAGTCACATTTTAACTGCTTGTGTGTTGTTACGAGCTGAAAAATGTTCACAAAAGTCATCTGAGATTTTGAGTTTCCTCTTCTTTTTCTGAATTCTTAGTTTCACATTTGTCAGGAGTCTCTTGCTGTATTTAGTCAAGGTGACAATTGGAAAAGTTACCTTGGTCTTCTGTGCCACTTTCAATTTCTTGCATCAGTCTGTCTGAAAATGACCCTGTAGTTTTAAAATTGTGCTCAAGAGAGCCCCCCCTGAATCTGCTCGTACATGTATGTAAATGGTCAGTCCCTCCCAAAAAGTTAAATAATCTGGGCTGTCAGCACATAATCATATGCGCTGTAGTTCAAGTTGTTGAAAAGTACAATGCAAGATACGTACATCTATCAGAATTTATGTCACTTAATGTTGAATCTCCAAGCAATAAAGTTGGTGACTCTGTTGCTTTATCTTATTTGCATATACATGTATGCACATGTAAATGAATGATTTATAGAGTATGTTTTATAGCAATCCACTTTATGCATTTTTCATCTGCCCACCATTGGTCGTAAATTGAATAATTTAAGTCCTAAGTATCCATATGTTGTTTTAATTTGTACAGATTATGGATTACATTTCGAATTTCAATATTTTGAGAGAAAAACATAAAATTGCATATGTACATGTACCTGAGAGTTCATCAATCTTGTTTGGCTGAGTTTTGGCAAGTTTTTGTTACATGCATCAGAGAGGTTCTAATTATATATTATAATTAATTAGATCTACAATTTGTGATTTGAATGTATAGAGGGTTTACCGGCACAATGGCAGGTAAATTGTACATGTAACTGTACATTTAAATTGCTGGCCATTGTCTCTTCAAGCTGGCTGCCTGATTGTATTTCATGAATAGAAAAACTGCAAGAATCTCTATCATGTGCATGCAAGAAATTAAAGAAGCCGGATAAAATTGGATGACTGCATTTTGTACACACCCGTGTACCTGTAACTGTTTCCACTTCAGCTTGTACATGTGCCTTGTTTTCCATCTTGTACTTTGATTTGTTAGGCTTACATTGTGTCGAGCCTAATTTGATGTGGAAAGCATACCACAATTGCACACAATCTCCCCATATTTCGTTGTGGTACATTTCCAGTTTGACCATAGCAAAATGCTTTTATAACAGGCTGGGTTTCAAATGACAAGTTGCAAATTGGTAGGACTAGGATGATAATTGATAAAGTACCAAGATTCCCATATATATTGATATTTGTGCAATTACACCATGATTTTGCTAATCTTGCCGTCCACTCCCTAGTTTGGAACCCCTATTACCAATTTCCTAATATGACTACAATTCAGCTGTCCAGCTGATGGTCCACATGTATATGTACATTGTACATGGACAAGTAAATAGTCAATAGAAAAAAAAACATGAATGCAATGGATCACTTGAAAACAGTCATGACAGCTCCTCCATCCACTGACCTTACACTTTGATGAAAATTCTGTGAAATGATCTGCAGGAAATTAAAAAAAAAAGAGCTGTACTGAATGATGAAGAAATGAAGTGGCTGAAATGTGTGAATGAGTTGAAACAGCAGATGGTCGTGTGATGTGTTTAGAAGTCTGTCCCCGTGGGGGGTCTGACCTGTAAAAGGGACAGCGGATAATTAGCTTCTTGATAACTTCCAATACATCACAAGAATGACAAACCGAGAAGTCAAGATAACAGGTATTTCACAACAGCCCACAGGGGACAAAAAAAGGCAATCAAGTATCATGGCTGGATACTGCTATGCCAACTATGCCTGTATTACCAGTTGAAATATCAATTCATATTCCACACTCTTTTTTTTCCAATGGGAAAGTTATTTTTTTGGAGTTTTAATTGGGCTCTGTAGCCACGTCTCGGCAGGACACTAGTCATTTGATAGGAGACACCTTTGGTGAAAATATAGATTTGTTGATCTTTATGCTCTTGAGAGAAAGATCGTTCATGTATGCGTTACATATATTGGCTTGTTTGTATTCACATTGTGAATTCAATCATGAACTATGCTCATTTAAAATGACTCGGGAGCTAAAAATCAAGCCAACCAGTGATGTCAGTATGCTGATACTAAAGTTGTTTGTTTACCTGTTGTGGTTTGTAGTTGTGATTATTCACAGTTGTGTTGATATCAAGTTGTCCTTGTTTAACCTTTAAAGCGATGATCGTGAGCCACTTTATAATAAATCCATCACTTTATGGAAGATGGGAGAGGATATCCCCTATTACTCCCCCTCCCTGTCAAGTCCCTCCCCCTTGGGTACATGTACATGTATATATGGCTGGATTCTACACAAACTGTGCTTCACAAACGGTGCCTCTGGTCAGCTGTTCAATTTTTTGTTTATTGGCATTTCTCTCTTTCATCCAGCCCTGTTTAAATTGTTCAACCACCGTTTGTGACGGCACATGTACTAGAAAGTTGGTGCACATGCAGTAGCTATACTTAAACCCTTACTGAGAAGGTTTGAAATGTGTTACAGAACAAGTAAAGGAAACACACAGATTCACGTCTGTTTATTGACCCCTCAGCTTGCGAGCTGTTTTCAACTTTAGTTTAAGAGCAAAGGAAACAGAAGATGTACCAAGTTAAGCATAGTATTGTGATGCAGAACGCAAGTGTTTAGCATTTCTTTCTTTTGAAAGAAGTCACCTCATAGAAAGCACTGCCTGACAGATGCAGTTCCAAGTGGAATATTGCCTGCATTTACTCCAAAACCAACCACTTGAAAGTAAACAACCGGTGTTTCCATTCAACCGTTGCGTGAAAACCGCTTAGCCTTTGTAGTAATTTATGCAGTCTGACATCACAAATGATGTTAACAAGGGCAGTCGTCATCAAAAGCTGCAATCAATTCAAGGACAACTCTTTTGATCAACAACCTTTATGGCAGAGACACACTCATTATAGCTAGGTGTCTCCTTCAGAAAGACATCGCAAACACAATCATCACTCGAAATATCTTTGTACGAAGAAGGTTGTCCCAGTACTTTTAACATTGAATAGAAATTGCAGTCTTGCCTTCTCGTAGTCACTATCCGTCACATACAATTGATGCTATAATCCCACAGACACTTCACAGTTATTCATACAAGTTTTTTTTTTCTGTTATGATTGATTATTGATTCTTCGTTGTCAGAGACGGATGGGGTGTCGTCCAGAAAGTCAGCGCGAATGCAGTAAAGGGCTTTTCAGCCGGCAAACATGACAACCTCAAGTGCCCTTAGTGCACAGCGGGGAATCGATAAAGTCGTTCGCTGAGATAATTATGAAATTGTGAAGTGTCCAAGAAATGCTTGTTACAGAGTGATTGTAGTATGACCGGAGGGCAAATTTTGTCGCTGGAGAGGATCAGCTCGCATTGATGATTGCAAGGCAAAGAGCTAGACCTTCATTGTAGGCCAAGTGAAAAAGTTTGTGCCCCAGTCCATGTACATATACGATATCTTTACTTGGCTTGCATACAAAAGGTGTCTGTTTATGACTGAATTAGGGTTTATTAAGTGAACTGTCTTTATATTGCAGTAATCATCAACGATTCTGCTAGATATTTTCTTTTTTGTTGTAGTTATGACTTGGCACAATTTATTTAAGTTAATTGTCGAGTTAATTGTGATATCACAATTTTAAAACCCCCAAATGCTGCAAAGTTATTTTCAAAAGGCCCGCCATTCTTTGCTTGAAATGATTTCCATTTTTTTGTGGAGAAAATCTTTGGGATAGGCCAGCTTTGCACAGCGTTGCTTAACACCAACAAGATTTGCTTGTCAGAAAAAGGGGACTGGATAAATTGCCATGTGTAACTTGAAGCTGGAGCTCGGCTTTTTTCAGTAAGCACACAGTTTTTTTGCGATATTCCCTGCCCTGTAGCCTCTTTGACTTTGGGTCATACCACCTCCAAGATTAGGGGAGAGAAAAGAGATAGTTTAACCTAAAGTTCTCCAATTGGACCTTAAGAGTCCTTAATTGTCTTAAGAGTACTCCGAATTATGAAAGCTGTTCTTATGGAATTACATGTAATCCAGTATCCAGTTAAAATCATTTCCATGTATTGTGTATGTTTTTTCAATGCAGGATTAGCTGGTCTGAAGGCACCTCTACCATTCAATGGGTATGACAGCCTGATGGCAGGGGCGTCACCCTACTTGCTGACTACCCACCCAGCCCTTGTTTCCAGCGGCTCATACCCTGGTCACCACATCTCCTCCCCATCGATCTACACCAATGGCAGCTTCATCGGGGGTGCCGCCTCCCTCCAGAACAGTCTGGGAAGTCCCAACAGCAAGTCGTCGTCAGGCGGGAGTGGGGACCACCCGGGGACGGACAACGAGAGCATCTCACCTCGGACTGACCACTCCTCGGGTGGTGGCGGTGGGGGGCCGGGCTCCCGCGAGCTGGCGTCTCCGCCCGTCGACAGTGACTTTAACGGTGAGGAAAAGGAGGTGGATAGGAAGCACCAGCAAGCTATGGCCGCTATGGAGCAAAGCTTAGGTATGGCACCCTGAGGCGCTACATGGGTACTCTCGCTGTCTGCACCATACACCAGACTTCTGGCATTAGTTTGTTTAACAATTTTATCCCCAAAACAGGTGACTGATTCCAAATTCATCACAAAACCCAAGATCTGAAAATACACACCAAATCTGTCCAGCAAAGCTTCATATATGGCTTTGTCCCCTCCCTTTTTGTGGTAATTAGTTTTTTATTCCCTGTACATTGTTTCTTTTCTACTGTAACATAATACAGTACATTTGCGTTGACAGGACATCTATTGACATCATTTTTTGTCTGTATCCTCAACTGTCATAGATTTCTTTAACTCAGTGTAGTAGCTTTATAAGGTGCCTCTAACTGACAAGTACGTGAACTTGTGAATATTTTGAGTTCACATATTTGAAACAGCAAAATTTGAGCAGTACCATTTTTACATGTTTGTGAGTATAACAACTATTCAGAGATCTTCCGATGGTGACCGATGATCTTCCGATGCTTCTAATTGTTCTGAAGTTGTTGCAACTTGCAGGAAATAAGTGAAAACTAATCACTTCTGTGAGAAAGCATTGTTTCTGAAAGGGCCTGCAAATGTTATTCAGTTGCTTTTTTAATCAATCAATCAATCAATGTACTAATTATTAACTTAACAATTTTCTGTTTGAATGTAGAGCCCTTTATTGAAAATCCGTTAAAAGATGCAAGAGAATCGAAAAACTTTGATCAACAAAGCCAATTTGTCCTCTGTTGTATGAAATGCTTTATAGAACCAGTGTTTCCCTTGTCCTTTTATTACACAGCATCCAAGGCTTCCAAGTCTGACATTGTCTTATTTTGTTTTCTAGCAGCCCATGCCAGGGATGACGTCCCAACGAACTCGCCAACTGGTCACACCAACAACCATTCCAAGACGTCACACATGAGTAAGAGACAACCCCTATTAAAATAATCTTTGTAATGGCAACACGCCCAGCCCCCACTTTATCTGGCTGTGCATGTGGAGAACATTTCTCCTGGCCCCCAGCCAACCCCCCAAAAACCCTGTGTTTCGCGCACCTTGAACAGTTTTGTCCTGCAATTAGCAATGAAAGCATTGTTATCACAAGGCACATGTACTTCAATGTATTTTTACTGCCAGATATTTTTATCACTGAAGGCCATGGGGTAGCACCTGTGATATCTATCCAAAGTACTGGTTGGTGAATAAGTTCAGCACTTCAAAATGGTTTTTGAGAAAAACATCTAAACAGGATATTGTTAGGCGAGTATTTTTTTTCAAGATCCGCTTATTTTTGAAATTGGTGTTGATCAATCTAACCCACTGAACCAGCACGAAGCAGACAAAATCCAGATTTTCTCTGGTTTTGGTGAACTAGATGAGTCTGCCAGAAACTTTGTGAATGAATCAGCCAAACCATGTCTTACGTGAAAAGAAATTTCCAAGCAATTTGCATAAATGGGGTGATGCAGATTAAGTTGTGAGTCTGGTTGCGGACCCGCCCCTTTCCTTTCCCCTAGGGGATGTTTTTGGGTGTGGTTCCCCAAGCAAAATTTCAATTACCAGAATTTCTTTTTTTAGTCTGCTGCATAAACTTTTCATGCACCTTTAGGCCCAGTGGCACCTCGGTTGGAAAAAAAGGTCTGTAATCAGGGGATGACAGACAAAAGTACGCTTGAAGTTGAATTAGGAAAACTTCAATCTTGCTTTATAATTTGCACCCATGTGAATGTTTTTAGTAAGATTTTCGTGAAATGCTTTTTTTCTTTGCTTGCCAGCATTTTGGAAAAAATCATGCTCTTAAAATCTCTGGACAAGTTTTCTTCCTCAAATTGTTTTTGAGCCCTTTCCGACTAAAAAGAAAAAAGGAGACTGACTTCGCAATTTTCTGTCTGTCTGCCCATCAAGTGAAAAACAAAAACATTGCAATTCACAAAACAAATCTGAAGAGGAAACGCCAGGAATAGATGTGATGGGAACAAGGGTATTTCTACGTCTTGCGGGAAGACAGATTAAAAACCCAAGGCTCAGAGAAACATCTTAAGGAAAACATCTGTCAGATCGGCCCACCTTTATGTTATCTGCTGCCACTAACTTGCCGAGGAGCTCCGCTCAACCAACACAAAAACAGGAAACCTTCCATTCTTTGTCGAGCAAGGCGGGGGTATTTTTGTACCCCGGCGCCCCCTCGGGCTGGTGCCCCGTCAATGAGTCTGCAACTTTTTATCGGTGGTTCCGACCCCCAGTTAGGCCGCCCTCATTCCTCGAATCTCAAGTCAATGTGGCACATTGCAGCTCATATAAATACCTGCATGGTGGAGGTGGCCGGTGGTTTGGTGGAGGGCGGCCGCCTGCACGGCCGAAACACTTAGTGCTTGTTTGACTGCTGAATTGCATACTTCACTGCTGCAAACCAGAAATGCTATTAGGGGAGAGGAAAGGAGTCGCCAATTCAGGAAATTGGCGCGCATTAGCTTGTCACTCGTGCTTCACCCGATGGCCTCAGTGTGTTACCGATGAGGGATTTTAGCCTGTCATTTCCCCCCCTTTACGCAAAGCTAGCTTTTTTATCGCAGCGTTCGGGCTCCCCGGGGATTGGCCCTCACTGTCTCAACTCTTTAGTGTTTGTGTTGTTATTGGTCTGAAACAGCTTCAGTCCTTTTATGAGTTATCGGTCGTGCCAACTCCCGGGCAGGCTGGCACAAGTAGGGGGCTTAATGCATCGCAGGTTGGGGGGCAGACTATAACAGGAATCTGGGCAGCTGGTTGGAGTACAGACCCCCAATTCCTGTTGTTATTTGTTCAGTGAAGTCTGTGTCATTTGCAAGTCAACCTTTTCAACTCGTTTTCCCCCTCACTCCTTTCATAACTCAACTTATCAAATTAAATCATGATGTAGAAACATGCTGCTTGTGTGTTAGAAGCTGGGGACCTTAGGTCATTGAACCATTGCCAACCATCTAATCTCAGCAGAAAGGAAACACATTAGATGTGACCTGGAAAACTTATCATAGCCAAGACAGCAGCACCAGGGAAAAATTGATGTTTAAAAAAAAATGCTACAAAACTTAACCTGTGTCTTATTGTGTTTAGATTGGCTGTCAAGCATCCTCTCTGTGAAATGAAACTGGTTCCTTTTTTCTCAAGCCCATGCCAATTTTTTGTCACCAAAGTTTGATACATATTGGCAGCGTAAATAATTGTTTTCAGTTTCACACTGTTGATTGTAATGCCAAACTGTTTTAGACCAAAAATTGGGTCAAAACAGTAACAACATACATGTACATGCGGTGGCAACACATGCAGTTTGGTCACCTGGGTTAGGTTATGCCATTGGGGCTTGCCAGAAATACCACCTGTTTCACTGTGCATGTGCCAGGTGAAGCCAAGCTGTAAAAAAATTTGGGTGGGGAAACCCTGTTCACCATGGTGATTGTTTTGCCAATTTTTTTGCAGTTTCTGCTTTCCGGGTAGAGTAAATTGGGGTCTATAAAGCACAGTTTTTTGTAGTCTCAGTCATGGGGGGATACCACTGTTTCAGCAGGGTTCCCAGGAATGATTACTGGCCAACTCAGGTCGGGGTAATAAAGAATGAAAGTTAATGGTGTGATTGTGTTAACACACAGATGGCCTACTGGCTGTGGACGTGTCCAGTTCCAGATCCTCGTCACATTGCCAGGATTCACCCGAGCGGGAGCGGTCAGTCCAGCCCAGCTCCCATTCCACGCCCCATCCGCACCCCCACCCACACCCCCACCTGCACCACAACCCCCACTCCCTGAGCAACTCCCTGGGCCTGTCCCTGGACCACAGCACAGCATCGGCTGCCGCCAAGGAGATGTTCCCTCCCCAGGGGCCCTCGTCCATTGAGACACTGCTCACCAACATCCAGGGGCTGCTGAAGGTGGCGGCCGACAATGCCCGCCAACAGGAGAAGCACATCAACTTGGAGAGAGGTGATTACATAGCAGCCATTGTTCTGGGCCCAATTTTCTGAAAGAGCTATTAAGCAGGAAAGACTGCCTAGCAGAGAACCAGTGACAGGCAACAAGCAACACATGGCATTTGGGCTGTTTTCACTATTTCAAATGTCCTTTTTGCTCAGCAAAGTTGCATCCTAAGCAACTCCATGACATTTGGCCCAGCACAGGGAGAGTTATGCCAGCTTCAGAAGTGCCATTTGCTTACAGTAGTACACACAGCACTTGGAAACTCCTTGCTAATTCTCTGACCCGTTCAAACCAAACAGTCCCGGAAATTTGCAACATCGCTAAAAGAATACTCACAATGCCAGTACGCACTGGTTGATACCTAGCGATATCAACTTTTTGTGCACATTTACACTTAAACTATACTAGCTTTTGGGATGCTTTCTTCAAGTAGGCATAATTCCTCCTGCCACATTTAAAACCGACTGTTCCATTAACTGTCAAGCAACACCCCCCAAAAAGAAATGACTGGGTCAGGATTACACCCCATCCCTGTGGACATTGAGGACCCTCCTAGGTACACCTACGGACATCCTTTCCCCTCCTCCAGCTTGTTTAGAAGAAGGAAATTATTAATCTGTTTACACTTCAGAGCCAGAAAATGTCCTGTGGGGGACTTTGTCTTGTAGAACTTGAAATAGTAGATTTTTGAGTAGATTTGCTCATAGTTTTACATGGGAGACAATGTGCCAATTTTCTGCCATTTCTAAGATAATTTGTTTGTTAGATTTATAGTTACTTTGAAAAAAAAAAGCGATCTACCTGCAGAGAGTTAGAGTTATGTACCAGATTTGGTTATTGTTGAAGTGTCCGTGTGAAGAAGGTTATTTCTGTAGTCTTTGAGGCTTGGACAGATACTGTATTTTGACTGTGAAAGGACAGCCTGCGTAAAAGCTCTAGTTGAGTTTCTACTGTTTTTTTTGTACCGGTAGTTGGTCAGATGTGACAGAGTCCAGGAGACAAGAGGCCATTTTGAAGTCATATTGAAATTGTAAAATTGTTGCGTCATGTGAATGTTAATAACTGCTTTCTCTTGAATTTTATCCGTCAGCCGAGTTGAGACTTGAGCTGCTCAGAGAACGAGAAATGAGAGAGTCTTTGGAGAAGCAACTTATGGGCGAGCAGAAGAGATTGGGTTGGTATCTTACCTGGTAGGACGTAATGTTGCACTCACAGGTGTTGGTTGCCTGCGAGTATTAAACTTGAGCCCAGAATTACTGAAGATAATTATAAGAAATCAACTGCCTTCGCATTTCAGATGTAATGACTCATCAAGTCTTGTGGTGTTTGCCCCCATAAAAACCCATCTCTAATTTTATAAATGACGTGGCTCCCTTCGAATAAACTGGGCTGAATGAAATCATCCCAGGTTGCAGAATAAACTTACATTGAGATAATTTCCTGTTTTGCTAGGGGGTTATTTATGGTCAAACTGGTGTTTCTGCGTGCATCAAAATAAAAAACAGAAGCCACGTCCCAAATATCTATGATACGCTGAGAATAAGGTCTAGGGGAGGCTCCCATCCCCATAACAGCTGGAGTGTATCAGGCATGGGTACCAGGCGTTCTGGTTTTTATCTCCTTCCCATTCATGTTTGGGGGCTATGAGGAGTTCAACGAGGATCACTAGAGGGCCCCCTTCCAGCCTTGTGATAGGTGCTTGCAAGCACAGGTTTTGGGGTCAGATTATGTGGGTCGCCGTATTTCAGTGTGTGTGTTGATGCTGTGTTATGAGGACACTCAGCAGTCCCATGACAAAGGTAGCTGCATCTCAATATTTGGGCTATGGCTGGAAACAATACATGGGCCTGTGGTAGTTGTTGGCTAGAGGCTTCAGCCATTCTCATAGGTGGGTGTACATGTATTCCTGTTAGCCACAACTGAGGCTTCTCAACACAGCCTTACAGGGGGGGAGGAACATTGTTGAGACACTCTGAAGTCCTTATAAGTTGGTCAAATATTTCCTGACTGTTAAATATGTTGTCTCTCTATTCACACATTCTTTTCATGAAACAAGAATTTGTTGCCTCGTTTAAGAATGTACCTGTGGTACTTATTCTCAAACTTCTTAGATATATTTTCCGGCTTTGTTGATTTTTTTCTTCGGAAAATCCCATTAAATTGCTTTTGCAGTTAGTTTGTAATCTAAGTGGGATATGTAGTGCTCTGTTCAAAAACTTCAGTGACACTCATGATTTTTTACAGTGCGCACGAGATTAAGCGGGGGAAAGTTCAGATTAGAAACTGATAGCAGAAACGATTAAATGGGATTTTCTGAAGAAAAAAATGAACAAAGCCAGAAAACCTGAGAGAAAATTATCAAAATCACACCCCTGTACACCCCTTGCCGCCAAGGCCGTATGTGCGCGTGCGTGCATAATTGTGAATTTATTAGTGAAAAGGTCCACTGTTTTTAGGAAATCCATCAAGTGAAGTATGGATTGAAAACCCGATACAGACTCTAGCTGAGAGTCACAGTTTCAAGTCTGGAACACAGAAGAGAAGTTGGGAAACATACCACCACATCAGCCTTTATTGCAGCTCTCATGTTTTATGTCTTTGTGTGTTTTCCTCTCTTTGTCTTCAGCCATCATCCTGAAACGACTGAAGAAAGAGAAGAAAGCTCGAAGACGCCTGCAGGAGCAGCTGGAGCTAAGCCACAGCAAGAGACACAGTGTGTCTGGGGAGACTGAGGCTGCAGCTATCGCCAGGCAGAACTCCACCGAGTCACTGCGAGCACTCAACGGTGAGTGTGGTATGTATCACTCGGACTTCTGCTTGTGCACTATCACAGGCTTCAGTATAAGGCACGGTAGGGGAGAGTTTTCTTGGTCGATTCATGAAGTTCATGTTGTTAATGGGTTACTTCAGTGAACTGTGTAGCAGTGGTCAAGTGGGAGTACCCATAAAAGAAATATAACACGAAAATGCAAAACCAGGGAAGGGGTACAGAATCCTCATTTCTTATTAAGCACAAATTGTTGCCAAACAACCTCTGCATGTTGATGTGAAATCTCTCCAAGCATTCCATGTTGCCTGGTGTAAAACTCACTTGTTTGCTCATAAATTTAGTCAGAGGCATTAAATGCAATTTTTCACTGCCTGTCATGGTGTTTCAAACCTTTTTAGTTGTTTGCATCAGAGAAACTTTTTCAAAGGCTGTCAATGTCGGTTCTTTCAAGCAGTAATCAACAACACAGAGGAGTTTAGCACTGAAGTCTGCCTTCCTCATAGTGTGTGCTAATATTCAGAGACATCTAAAATGGAACTACAATCCTGGACAAATCTCATTGGACCATGCCTGCCCTTGTCAGTGTTTTTTTCATTGGGTATTAAAGCTGGGTCGAATCTTGTTCTAATAAATGACCGCAACATTGAATGGCGGAGAGGGGGGAATCTTTTCACCGTGCTTCCCACAAGGTGTTCCAACTATTTTGTCCAGGATTGTAGTTTGCTTGGTTGGGTGAGCGTCAGTATTCAACATTCCAAAGTTCCACAGTCATCCTTTCGAAATTGATAGTGTTGAGTCTGACAATGGAACCCTCCAACTTCTCATCATTAAAAGAAAGGAATTGAATTTCAGCAGACTCCCTCTCGCACGAGTTGGAGAAGGAACGTATGGCGAGAAGCGAATCGGATAAGAAGTCGGCAGCCTCCGACAGCAGTCCAATGTCCTTCAGCCCTCCACCACCGACCCAACCGCAATTCCAACAGGACCAAGCATGTAAGTAGTGTTGGATTCTCCGACAGTTGTGCTCAGATGAAAACTAGCATTGTGAGTTTGTCGAGAAGGTGGCTCTCAATATCTGTGGACAGGGCTCACTCAAAATGTAACTGAGTCGAGTTGTTACAAATTTTACTGGTCTAAGTGGGGTAGTGGAACTGCAAAGGAATGAGAAGTGGTGGTGAGAGTCGAAGCTTTGATGCTTAATTAAAACTGTACATGCCAGCTGTTAGTCCTGCCACTTGACTTCTGGGGGAGGGAGGGTCCAACTTGGCACTGTGGATTTATCAGGTCAAAGAATGGAAACCCATGAACTTGTTTGAAACCTTACTGATCCACTTGTCCAAAGATGGAAGATGGGAAAGGGTCTTGCTTGAAAGTAGTTGTACAGTCATTGTTTCTCACTTGGCAAAACCTAAATCAGGTTTGCTGGTCAATTTTTGAGGTCCAGTTTGGCCTGGCATTGTCTACTGTGTTGTGCTGTTCTTTCCCCCATTCCATGCATAGAACAGTAGTTCATCACCTGTGGGCAGTTTTTGGTTTTTTTGGTTCATTTGCAGTGTATGTTGTGACGTAGGTGTGGGCATTTGTGGTGGTGTACATTTTGAAAGACTGTTTAAAACTTTGCAGAAATTAAGTGAAATTCATTGTTTTCGTCTTGCTCTGTCTGTTTTGGAAAATACCCTTTTTTGGGCTTTCATTTCAAAGACTAGCTTGCAGATATGATATGCCATTCATGAAACATTTTTGTGTATCATAAATGAATGATGCATGTCTTACAGTTGACAGTAAAATTGTCAATCAATATACTTCCTGCTGCTTTATGGCATCTCAGTACCAAAGATTTCTAAAATCTTTTTTGAAAATTTTTCAGAATGCAATGGATGCTCCCTCTAACTCTTAAATTTTCTTATAAAACTGCAAGATGGTGCGCACTTGGCAAACCACTGAATGCACACCCCCCCTTCACTCCTTCCCTTAGATTATCGTTGGCAAGAAGTGGAAGATGGACGCATGAAACGTCTGGACTACTAAAATATTGCTGTAGGCTGCAAAAGCTGTAACAATATGCAAAACACAAGGCAAGCTTGTTTACTTTCACTTGCAAGACACTGTCTTACCTAAATACACGTCACTGCAGCTGAGCTTTTCTGATTGGCTGAGAGATCACCATGTGACCAGTACCGACAACATTATGATTGGCTAATGGCTTGCTTGTGAGCCAAGATAAAAGGACTTAGCATCACTTGCCAGTCAGAAATACCAACTGCCAAACTTCAAGCAAACCACTGCATGCATGCTCAGTTGCATCTGGAGAAATGTACAAGATTTAATAAAAAGGCCCCTCATCTATCAACGGTCATTTCCAACAAAATATATTACAAACAGATTTTGACTGTTCTACAGCAAATCACATGCAAATCAGGCCAGTGCACTTAACAGATTTAATCCATTGGCAAATCAAGCAAGTGTGATAGCAAAACAGTAAACATTGCAGACTGCTTTTCTGCCAAAAAACTTACAAAACAAGTTTCATTTGGAACCTATAAAGCACAGTTATTACCACTTGTAAATTAGGGAGGGATCTTTTCAACCTGCATGTATCATTTGCATTGCTTCTCCCACCAAAATGATCGTCTTGTGTATGCTTGGCGATACCTTTATTTTAAGTGATTTCTTGCATGTGCATGCTATGTTTCTGTTTGGTTTCAGAGTCCTGTGGATAGATGTTTCAAAGTCTATCAGAGTTCTAAATGTGATTGCTTAAATTTGAATTGATTTAAGGACAGTTTTCCCAAACCTGTGTGTTTTGCTGTAGAAAGTGATTCAGTGATGAGATTCCCCAGCCAAAAAAAAAGTCAGTGGCATGGAATAGATTATGAAATAAATGATAACTTTGATTCCTTTCAGATGCTCATCTGTATTATAAGCACGCGGCAATGTTCTCCGCCTAACCAAGTAGTCTGGTCTCCATTGTGGATTTCCTCTCGTCTCATTAGTCTCTGGGGGAATCAGTCTGCTAGCTTTGGATAATTTAGCTCCAGTGTGCAATGCAAGTTGGTCTGGAACCCAGAGCCCAGGAGAGTCAACTTGGGAGGACATTACTTATGTATCCAAGTTGGTCTTTTGCATCTCATGTCGCATGTGTCAAAGTTAAATGGAAAGCCATTACTCAAGTAAGCTCAGAGTAAAGAAAAATCCCCTGGCCGTAGATGCAGAGACTATCAGTGTAAGCTTCAATTTGTGGATTTTAAATGTTTGTGTTTGGATATTTAGTGATGGGTCCCAATGAAGATTTGGAGTTTGTGCAAGTGTACAGAATTTAAAAAAAAAAGGAAACTACAATTTCCTCAGATGGGGACCTTTGCATGTCGGGCCATGTAGCCATCTAATTTTTTATTTATTCTAGTGGATGCCAAACTGCTCGTGAGGAAAGCAGCATTTTTAATGAAAGGAGTGTATAGTTTTCAGTTTTCATAATTTATAGTTGTGAGTGTAATGTGATTTATTTTATTAATACGTGGGACGCTTGTAAGTAAATGATGAATGACAATCAGAAGGAATAGGACCAGTCTTACATTACATACATTCCCAGTGGAGTCTAGCGGCATTTCAGGATGGATCCCTGACTTCAATGTGTTAAGCATCTTGTGTAAGTATTAATCAAAACTTATTGGTATTAAGACAGTGTAGATAGATCGTTGACGTCTAATAGTCCACATCCCAGTAATACATCACGATTTTTGTTAATTAATGTTTTTATTCTTAAACACTCAGGGTCTTTTAATGCTTTCTCCCCTTGTTTTTTATCTATGCACACATAGACACAAATAACGTAGGTATAAAATGTGGATGTGATAAAGTGGACCAAAAATAAAAACCAAGTTCTAAATAAGTTTACTTGCCAGCACTTACAGATTTCAAATAGAACATTTGTAGGGAAAAAGTAAATTGAATCCGGCATACCGGTATATGTACATGTACTTCAGAGAAAGACAGACGGTCAGAAGACATTTCATTGGGCGGTAGTTGGCAGTGTCTGGTCAAAACTTTGTTAACTGAAGATGTCTCCTGAAATCTGAGAAATTCCCACGAAGCTTCGGTATATGAAAAATGTAGTCACAATGAGCAATGCTACGTACGTCAGAGGATGCTGATTGCATAATGAAGTGTTTTTGCTCATTGTGCATGTCGTGGTAGATTGTAATTATTGCTGAAATTTGATGAAATTGTACTTTTTTGTGGGATATCGTAACAGTTAACAAGTGAAAGCACAAATGCACGTCAAGATGAACAGACACTGGCCTCTTTATGCCTTTGAAGTCTTACAGAGTGACCAACTGTTGGTGAAAATGAAAATCCAAGTCAAACCCCTCCCTTCAGAAAAAGAATGGCTTGATGGCAAACAGCCATGAAAATGCGATCTGCAGATTTGTGGTCTGAAATGGAGCCCATGAATCCTTTGAAGTATACACAAAAAATGGATGACGTTTAAAAAAAACCAAAAAAAACATCCAGGCTGCTGACTGGGATAAGTACATAGCCTGGTGTGACAATGGACAAAGTTATGTCCCCACTCCCTCTGCAGTCTGCCAAATGAAGCCTGTCTGCCAGACAGTTTTCGTAATTAGCAGACGTCAAGCCAGACTATTGGACAGTACACCAAGCCCCATCTTGAATTGCCATGTGTAGTTGCTGCAGGCTTCACTTCAACAGTTTCATTTGTATTTGTATTCATAAAGATTGCTTTTTATATCAAAATTGTATTGTGTACATTAGCGTCATAAAAGTGAAGCCAAATTGCAGCATTGTTGATTTAGTTGATCAGGAATCAAACATTAATTTAGGAATGTAACTTTTGATTCATTTGTAAAGCATGTTACCCTGTAACTTGATGCAACATTGAAACTGAAATGGGTCCAGTCTGACAAGAAGTCTCTCGCACTTAATATGGATGGAGTCTCTGGGAATTATCACAGTAAATGTTTGGGAATTCTGCATAGTTTCTATCTGGTTTCTACGATTGTGCAAAGTTAGGTTTCAAGAATTTTCACATTTGATCATGGAAATGATCCTGAATAGGCCATTGAATGTTACCATATCATGTTCTCTTGGATTTCCGACTAATCAACCTCAAATTTTCACACCGAACTTGGAAATTCCACATTTGAATTTTCTGTATTGTTGGAAAAATTCAGGAAGAGCCACGGCATACATGTAAATACCCATCTGTGTGCTTGGGTATCATATTTTCCACAACAGAGGAATTTCCTGAGGTGAGTGTGGAAAAGATACAGGAAAGGTCATGGGAATCCTTCACTTCCATTTTGGACGTGTCTTCGGTGCTGTTCACAATCAGATTTCTCTGATCAAATAGTGGAAATTTCTTGGGTCAGGATGATTCAAAGTAGACTTTGTGGTAATTATTCTGTCTGTCATGTTTTTATTTCAGAGTCATATACAGTAGTCACTGCCAATAATTTCAGTTCTTCTTGAAAAATGATGCTCTGAAGCTTGATTTCTTGTTGAATACATTTTTAGTGCAAACATGAAGTTTGTAGCATCATTGACTATTGAGATCAACTTGAACAAAATAATTTCCAGAAGTTAGAAACAATCCTTTACATTTGTCTGGTATATGCTTGCTTTTCAGGTTGGGTTGATAAAAGATTGTGGGTTTCTCTTTCTCACAATGGCGCATGTGTGCTAAATTTGTTTGGTTACCAGGGTAACATACACATGAATTAATAGAAATGAGTCTAGTGATGTCTTAATAATGTACATAATTTCCACTGGATACCACTTATTCTTTGATGAAATTTTGTGCCAAAATTATTACATAAAATCTCTGTGAATCTTTGATATGATGAAAGATGTTGGAAAACATCTGTTAAAAACATTTCCATGAAATTCTACAATAGTTCACTTTTCAAAAATAATGACGGCGTCAACCCACCTTGATACATTTGATACAAGATATGTGGCGAAGGAAGACCCTCCCTCTATTGTGTCCTTATGTAGACGGAATCTTTGGAATTCCTTTCAGATTTTCGGGGGGGGGGATAAAGTAGGTACAATAGCCTTACCTATAGCTTGTGCATCACATTGGGAGTCCCCCTTTGCCACATTACATGTATCATGCTGGGTACACCTTGATGAGTTGAGGTCATAGCGCCTCAGTTTTCAACGAAAGTTTTTGATGTTTACTTCTGTTTTGGCTATGCGGGTTTGATTTCTCTCCATAGGTTGTCTTGATGCAAGACCCTCTTTTCCTGGAAACAGTTGGTAATTGTTCAGGCAATAACCCCCTGTTCCGGTTTTAATATTAATCTTTTGGTGATTGATCAAATTCTTGTCGAATTCTTGTCTTGTTGCATTTATCTTAATCTTCAATGTTTTCTCCAACATCTTGATGACTTATTCCTTAATATATATACAAGACATTGACATGTAAATACGGATAGCTAGATGGCTTACCGATGTACATAAAAAAGTCAGCAATGTAAGAAAAACTTTTTTAAAGGAACTTAATGCCAGATGTTGCATGAGTTCTGGTACATAAAAGTGTGGTGATCCCTAGTTTGATTTTTTCCCTCCAATCTTTTTCTTGTAAATTAAAAAAAATTGACAATTTGTATTTTTGAATGTCTTTCTTGTAGTTAGAAGCAGTGTGCATGGATCATTTCAGATTCTGTAGGTTTGAATGTGTGTGTGTGTTCTTGTAGGATCATTTCTAGTTGCAATCACTTGTAATATCAGTCTTTGATTTTCATTTTTGTTAGTTTTAAGACTTGTACAGAATTGATGTTTGAGTAATGAGGTCCCACCATTTTGTTAGTAACAGGTTAACCTGTCGTCATTTGAGCACCGTTTCTTAAAGAGAAGTGATAAGTTGCAATATGGATAAATTTGGCCCTGTGTAAGGTTTTTTTAATTTAATTGTCATACAAACATGTCCTTCATGAATAAAAATTGAATCTATTACTGGTTCAATTCCAATTATAAAAACTGCTTGTGAAATCATTTTCAGAAAATTGCAAATCATGCCACTTTTTGTCATAAAAAAAGTCAATTTAAGAGCGACAGAAGTTTACATTATCAGGGTCAACTCTAAATTTTGCACGACACATTCAGATTTGCTGACAATGTATTTTCCTTTTCTCAAGTGGCCTTTTGCGTGGTTTTGATTTTAGCTCCAGTCAAGTAGTTGGAAAAAAAAACCAAGTTAGTAAGTTATTTACCTTAAACCTAGACATGTTTTAATGATGTTTGTCTGAATGGAGGCCAGTGGACCCCCCCTCACCTGTTTGGAACTGAGTACACATTATTTTACTGCCATTTTCAAACATTCTTCTTTCACTGTGTTTGGCATCAACTCGTGTAATTTATACATTCAACAAAGTGGTATTGCAATAAAATAAAAAACTTTGTATTTTGAGATTGTTGTTGGTCATCAGTTATTCACTTTTCTTCTTTTTTCCAAACTGCTGTACATTTTGTGAATCCTTGTAAACAAAATATGACCAGCTTCTCTGGTGGTTTTTTTTTTGGTTTCATCTTCCTCTCTACAATAGTTTTGAGAGCCTTCTGTTGAAACCAAATGAGACTGAAGTCGGGAGATGTGTTTGGCTTTTTTGCACGTTCTGTTATTTTGTTTTGCAAATTGCTGCCCCAACATCCAAAATATTCATTATAATCAACAAGAGAACAATAACTATTATCTTGATAAATATGGCAAATAACGCATGATACTCCTTGATAATTCTTAAACACCGCAATAACTGACTACACTTTTAGGCCAAATTAGGAACAGAAAAACCAGTCGAAATAAGACATGACAATTAACAAAACAATGGGTCCTAATGAACCTAAATCTAAAACATGTTTTAACCACTGCCGGGGATACCGGGTCCGGACATGTACATGAATGCTTTATATGCGTGGCCGGGTCTCTAAACTCGGGCAAAGGGAACAGGGCCTTGTAACAACAGACCGTACTCGGAACAAAAGACCAGGCTGCTGGGCATTACCAACTTTTTTTCACTCTCAAAAGTGGAGATAATCCAGCCTTATTTTGAAACAATATACCACGGTTTGGGGCATTTAGAGCAAGCAGATTACCACCAGGGACAAAAGCACTCTACCACCACAGTGACGAGCCACGCAGCACTGCTGCATGCTAATCTGGCCCCTACTGAAAAGATGTCAGCAGCACCGAGTGCACTGAGCCAGGTTCATGAACAAAAGAAAGATATATAACACCGCACAATCTGGGCTCTTTTTACAAGGCTGCAGGCCTGGCTGAAATACTTGGGCGTCAATAGATTTTGTCTGTCAGACTGGAGTGGAGCCAAGACAATTCTTCGTGTGCAGTAAATGAAGATAAGAATTTTTAAAGAAAAAATGATAAATATCCCACCCCAGCATCATCATCGATAACTGCCCCGGCAGGAAGTGGTTAAGGCTTGATCATTATTTGGCTCCACAATAACACACATGCACTGGTGGTGGAAAGGAGGAACCAGTGGCTTCCCCCCCCCCAACACGATTTGCAGGTCCTACAATGAAGTGAGGCTTAATGGATCAGCCTGTTAACCACTTTGCTCTGGTGGCATTTATCAATGTTGATGATGCTGAGGAAGGATAATTATCATTTTTTTCTGTTTTTAAAATTCTTTAAAAATTCCTATCTTCATTTACTGGACACTTACACCCACATGAAGGACTGCCTGGTTTCTACTCTAATCTGACAGACAATATCTATTGACGCTGGAGTATTTCAGCCAGGCCTGCAGCCTTGTAAAAAGAGCCCAGATTTTGCAGTGTTAGGTAATTTTCTTTTGTTCACGAAACTGGCACAGTGCGCTGCTGATTAGTGTGCAGCGGTACTGTGTGGCTTTTTTCAGCGGTGGTGGAGCACTTTTGTCCCCGGTGGTAATCCGCTCACACTAAATCTCCCAAATTGTGGTATACTGCTTCAAACAAGGCTGGATTATGTCCACTTTTGAGAGTGCAAAATGTTGGTGATGCCCAGCAGCCTGGTTGTTTGTTCCGAGTACGGTCTTTTGTCACAAGGCCCAGGTCCCTTTGTCTGATTTGGGAGACCCCGGCAACACGTATAAAGAATACGTGTCAGGTACCGGAAACCCCAGGGGCAAGTGGTTAATAGCCGATTCCTGATGATCTCACAACTGGCCCCCTGCTTTGAAAATCATTTCGCCGCCATTGCACAGATGCACCTGTGTCTACACGTACACATGTTGATATTTAAACTTTTCCAATTGCTTTATTGAGGGCGCCGTTTACATGTAGCTTATTACAATGTAATTGGAACTAGTTTTAATAAGAATATACACAGCTAGGCCGAGTTCGGGCGGCTTGTTCTCGCATGTTCGCGAACAGCTCGATTTGTTGTTCGTGGGTCGGCCGCTCGAACGCCGGGAACAAACAACTGGTTATTGCTGGTAGTTAGTGACAAGCAACATGCAACATGGCGGCGTCCATGTATGCTAAGTTATTTGAGAGTTAATGTTTGGATGGGCTGAATTCTTTTGTCTGTGTTACGGAAAATAATTAATGTTAGTTTTGCAAAACTTCCCATTGTCTTTGGCAGCCATCTCTCTACTTTTTGCAGCTGTTCAAAAATCAAAATCTCCCGAGTTTTTCCGTGTGTTCCTGTAAAACCCTGACGAGGAGGTGGTGTGTGATCCTGTTCCGAGAACAGTGTTCTTGAGTCCCGTTCCCGCCGTTCGAGCGCGAGAACAAGAAACCCGTGTCAAGAACAGGCAGCCCGAACTCGACCCTGGTGACAAGTCAACTTTACTGCAGTGCTGCCATGAACAGGAGTATCTAAAACCATTTCAGTAAAGTTCATTATAAACAATCCAGTCATTCTGGGGATGTTAAATTGCTGTATACACTATATATGCACATCCCCACGCCTTAAAATGTATTGTTTCCACACAGTTTTCTAATGCTTTCTGGGAATAAAATTGGGAACTTTGAAGTCAACAAATTTATGGACAGTCCATGAATTACAAATGCTTATCTTCATCTGCTTCAGTGCGCAAGTGCTAAAAAAGTAGTAATGATCGTGAAAAAGATTTCAAGAGGGTTTATTTAGTGTATACTTATCTACATTCTACAAACTACGGAAAGAAATACAGTAGATCTATATTTGCAAATGCTTTTAATCCAAGTGATATTGCAATCAGAATGTGCGTCACAACGAATGGGTGAAGAAAATACCTGCCCTGGCAAAAGAATTTTCTTTCTGCTTACCAATCTGCCCTACTTTGACCGAGTGACCCTTAAGTATTGGAAAATGAGACATTGAAAATGCAGAGAGGAAAAAACAGTGTCCAGTGTCATTTGAACATGGTGCAAAGAGATAATAAACAGACTTATTTATGGAAACCACTAGTGCCTCTTTAAAGTGGTATTCATTTCATTTGAAACCAATGCAACCCAACCTCTCGTGGCAATTATTTTCAACCAGTTAACACCTGAACACTGACAAATTCAGGATAAGTCAGACTCTTACCTCACTACCTTTGTCATGTGCCATGTGGTAGGAGGCAGAACCATACTTTTTGTGTTTTCCTCTTTTTTGGACCTTAGCGTGACGGGCTTCCAGCCAGGATGCCAATCAATGTATACGGTTCGTGATTAGTTCCGAACTGCTTTTTTACTCAGCATGTAAATTGGCTGAGCAATATTTGCTGTCACTACACCAGTTGCTCCATCTTGTTCTTGAGCAAGATGTTGGACAACAATTTTAATCCATCCTTGAAGAACAAAAAAGTGCCAGAAAAATCAGACTGTAAATAGGTGTGTTTAGTCAAATGATTGCCCTATATCAATATTCAATGGATAGCTATATGGCAAATGATTAACATGTTGGAAGGCATCCTGACCATGCTATAACCCACCGACCCCAACCAAGGAAGAATAAAAAAAATGATTCTGCACCAGCCCGAAAAAAAGTAAATTTAGTAGTTAAACACTGACTCAAAGCCCACTGTCATGAACAGAAAGTTATGGCAGTTTTGGGAAATTTAAAGTTGTAAGCTTTGCGATTCCCCTGCAAAAGTTCAGAAAGAAGCAATTTTTCAAGCGACTCCTGTTTGGTTCGGAGTTGGCGACAGGAACAATTGCCTTGGAAATACACTGCACGTTGCATGTGAATCTACCGGTAGAACGATGGCGTTGGTCCAAAGTTTGGGTAATCTTGGAAAAGTGTGACAGCTATTTGCTTTTTTTCAACAGATATTACAGAGAGAAATGGTAATTTCCTTTAACTGACATATTTGTTCACAGTACAAGCAGCTACATTTTGTTTCCCAATTTTTAAGTTTGTGGTAAGGTAACGGTGTGGCTTGTGACAGTTAACACAGTGCCATTTGTAGCCAATGTTGTAGTCAAGTCCTTTCTGAAGTCCCTTCACAAGACAAGTCATAAATACTTGAGTAAGGAATGACAAAGAAATGCTTTTGTCACAGATTATTTGAATAGCTTTTGGCTTGTAACGTGGCTTAACCACTTGTTGCTGGGTGGATTTTTCTTGAGCAAGACAAGATGCCGGGTCCTTTTCAAGATTTTCCATTTTCAAAATTCTTCAAAAATTCATCATTTCATTTAATGGCCGTTCATACCAAAATGAAGGACTCTTTGGGCACTACTCTAAAGCTGACAGTTAACCTTAATTGACTTTTGAATATTTCAGCCAGGCTTGCAGCCTTGAAAAAAGAGCCCAGATTGTGCGGTGTTACGTACGATTTTGTTCCCGAAACTGGCACAGTGCACTGCTGACCTCTTTTTAATAGGGACCAGATTAGTGTGCAGCAGTGCTGTGTGGCTCATCGCTGCGGTGGTGGAGAGCTTTTGTCCGCGGCGGTAATCTGCTCGCTCTAAATGCCTCAAATCATGGTACACTGTTTCAAAACAAGGCTGAATTATTTCCACTATTGAGAGCAAAAAAATAAAGCCTATGTACTCGAAAACGGGTCGCCCGGCAGGGAGTGGTTAAGATGAGATGATTTTGTGATTGACTTGTGATGGACTTGCAGGGACTTGTGATGGACTTGACTTGTAGCCACCTCACCTTTATTCAAAAGCATTACTTGAGCATGAATAGGTTTACTGACTTTGTATTGGAGGAGCAAATCGTGAGATCATCATAATGCATTTTGTCAGAAAATTGCGGAGGAATGGAGGTGTGTTAGGCTTGTTGCAATAGTTCTCGGTCACGACGCGTAGCTCATGGAATATTTGCCTATGACACAATGAAAACCGAGAGGAAATCATATAATCTTATCCACACTTGGAAATAATTTTGACGGTATTCACTTATAAAGATATGCTTCTGTTCCCCTTGGATTGTAGAAAATAGAAATTTTCTACAATCTTTTTGACCGTCTTCACTAATAAAGATATGCTTCTGTTCCTCTGGATTGTAGGAAATAGAAATTTTCTACAATCTGAGTATTAACAAATAGAAACCTGTGAGAACTTACTACTTAAACTGTTTAAACATCAAACTGTTTTCAGAAACAAGCTTTAGGCGTTGAATTTGCCCAGTTGCATCTTGAATGGCATTCAACCCTGGCTTAATTTGGTAGAATTCAAAACTTACTTGCAATATGGGTTCCTCCGTGATGCATAGCGGAACGTCAAGAATCTAAAGTACATGAAGGGGACCAGGAAACTCACCCGCCCCCTGAGGAAGGAATCATGAACAAAAACAGCCTGTCAGGGGTTAAAGGTTCCTTGGCCGACTGCTTACATTCTGGTTGGCATTCAAAATTCATTGCAGTTTGCTTTTAAGGAGTACTGCCCAAACACAAGATAGCCTCCTGAAATGTGGGCTACAGAGAGCAAAGATGAATGAAAGAAGTCAGGGTGATGTTAAGCATCATCTGACAAATTAGAGGATGCTATGGCAAATCTCCGACATTATTTTTCCTTTTTGAGGCTACTTAGCAACGACTGTGTATTAGAGAGTGAAAGTGATTGGCTGTGATGGAAAAATGATGGTGGGGAAAAAAACACCTTGGTAACTGGTGGGTAACTGAATTGGGGAAGATTTAAGTTACACTTTCATGAGAGAGACTGGAGAGAAATTTTTGAACACTTTCAGAATTTGCGGCATACGCTGAAAAATCCAGATGACTTCGTCACAGCAGTACAGTGTACTTACGTAAAGACCATGAATATAAGGCAGGGCATCAGAATAACCTCATCCAGGGCAATGAAGCGTAGTATCTGGCTTTGGTTGGTGATCAGCTTGTCTACCAGCTTACGGACCAGATACAGTGAACTGGGACCCAGCAACTGATAAAATAAACAAAGGGATGTTTTAACTACATGGACCGGTGCTTGCACGGGAAAAAAGAAAATTCGTTTGAAATTCTGATTTAAATTTCATAAAATGCTGTTTCAACTGTTCAAACCACTTCCGAAGAGAAAAACCAAAGTGCATGCATGCATCATTCAGTATCCACTGAGAAAGAGAAAAGGAACCTTTCCTTTCAGTGCTGTAGTAAAAAGAATTCACACAGGACACACCTACAAAGGCAGGATACCAGACTTGAAATCCATACAATTTGTACAGAACTCATCATTCATCCATCATTTCAAATGTCTCACTCCAATTCAAGCTTTGAATTACACTTCATTCCGATAAAATGCAACAGAATACAAGGGAACTCCAAGGCAGGAAAATTTGCACCACTCAAAAGAAGCACCACTCCAAACCACTTTGTAATAAGTGCTTTCAATGAGGCCCTCCAAGACTGCTGTGCCTACTATGTGCGCAGGTGAAAGCATTTTGAACTTTGATTCTCTTCAGATATTCAGGACTTGGACTCGCCTTCAAGACAATACATTTTTCCTCAAAAAATGGTGTACTTACGTTGAGAAGTTTCTTGGTGAAGCTGGATGCATGCAATAGTGCAAACAGGAAGGGCGGAGTCAATGCCACTGTGATGGGCGCAGTCAAGGAAAACATGCGTGTATGCCAGTGTTGGGTCATTCTTGCATTTCTGGAGTTAATTCTGATTCCATCCCAGAATTCTGATTCCCCTCAGGATAAATGCTAATTTTGACTTGCACAAACTACAGGAAGGTTATGTAGACGTACACAATGGCTCACTAGAATTCATCAAGACACTTGATGAATCTTTTGTTCAACAAGATCATCAGCTTTGTTATAAATCATCCTGATATGAGGACCAGCAGCGGACACAGCAGGAGGGTCCCCCGGGCCGGGATGGGCAGCAGGGACCCCCGTCGCAGTGTGGGCCAGGTGTGCCCCGGCCTTGCCGCAGGAGCGGGCGCAGGCGGAGGACGGCCTTCCGGAATTGACGGTGGAGTGAACGAGCGCTTTTTCACCGACACTTAAGCCAGGCCTATGTAGTGATGACATTTCCTATGGAGCTTCGAGTACATTGTGCCCACCCAGCTTCCATATGGCAGCACACACGTAAACAAGGTGTGACGTCATAAATAAATATGGCGTATTTGAGGATTATGATATTGGGCCCCATAGGCAGATGGGGGGGGGTCCAGGGGGTCTGGACCCCCCTTTCATACGAGGACCCTTTTTTAAAACTCAGGATCAAGAGTGAAAACAGCACTTTGTTGATGTTTTCTGATGTGTTTGGATTGGGGACCTGAAATGAAACTGCATGTGCTCGGAAATTACCATGAATTTTGGCTTATACTCTGATTCTCACGCTGTGGGAGGGACATGTGGCCAAGTGGTTAGGGTCTGTGGCAGTGTAGGGTGAGCTACTATTGGCACTCTCCATGGAAATATATGAATATGCAGTGCAGTTGTTGCATACATGAATATCCATCCAGAATCATGTTGATCAAGTTGTTAGGCAGGCACAGTGGGGTCATGGGTCGGCGTGCGCCAAAACCCAGTACTGAACAGCCCATGACCACGTATCGTACCGTATGGGCAGAATCAGTGTGGCACTTATAACAAAAGACCATGCTCAGCACAAAAGACTGAGCTGCTGGGCATTACCGACATTTTTTCGCTCTCAATAGTGGAGATAATCCAGCCTTGTTTTGAAACAAAATACACACTGTATGTGCCCTTGGTTGGACCCCCCCATTTTGAAAATACCTGGACCCTAAAGTAGGACAGAGAAAGGGCAAAAATTCTACATGTTCATGCCAATAATCCCAATTAAAACATCAATTTTCTACGTGTGTACAATGCACCCAACGGAAGGCATCTAATGTGGTTGCTGATTGTCTCCACGGCAGTCCCATTGCCAGCTTCAGGCACGGGGGACCACAGTATCACCTAGGAAGGACTCGCATCACAAGAACAAAACACAAAGATAAAGCGGTGTATGTAGCCTTGGGGGGACGGGGGCAGCTGCTTTCCGGGGTAGGGGCCCTGCTCGGAGGGGCTGACTACACAACAAAGGATACATGTGATGGGATGGCTGTTGACAAAGATGAGGGAGAAGAAGAGATTGTGACAGCTGTCTTCCAGGAGGAGCAGCGACAGGTAGACCCTGGTGAACTGGAATGCTGGTAGACGCTGGTGGAGCCGTAGTGCGCTGGTCAGACCGTTACAGATGATGGCCCGCTGGTAGAATCCCAGGGCCGACTGGGGGCTGGATATCAAAGAATACAATTCAATGGGGCAGCTTGTTATTCCTGGGTAAGGTAGCAAGGGATAATACAAAAATGCCGAGGCTGTCCTGTGACAAACTATGGCTCGCACTGTACTATAGTGCAATGAACCAAGAACCCCATTCTACAGAACACTACAGCTATCTGGTTCAAGTCCAAGATGGTCTGAAAGGGTACAGCTTTGTCTATTGTCCACATGCGTTAATTCATCTGCAACTGGCAAAGGCCCAGAGCTACAGCTCCAGACACAAGGTTCAGATGTATGCTGGAAAATGAATAAATGTACATATTATTTATGCATCCTATTCAAACACACGTAGTACGGTGTTTCCAGAAATTAGGGTCCATTTTTTGTGTGTCCCTGTCATATGATTTTGTAAGTTCAGAACACATTTTCTAATTTCCAAGAGTGATGAATTAATGCAAATTACCAACCGAACAAATAGTAACAGTTTGAAATCAACCCTAGTGATATTTACATGTCAAATAACAAAGGTCAAATGTAACAGGGACGTGAAAATGTCACATGTTTGGACCCCTAATTTCTGGAATCACCCAATAGAATTGAGTGAACTGGAAGGCGTTCTCACCCATAGATTGGTATAAGATAGAACAAGCTGCAGAATACTGTGACGATCCGAGACATCCATAGGCAAAAGTCTAGCTTGTTATTGGCAAGATAATTCTGTGGATATCAAAAATACAAATACACATAAATACAGTTACTTAATCACAGTGCATTAGTCGAAACCTCTTAAGACCATCACTAGGCCACCACAAGACCAACACAAGCCCTCCAGTCTGAATTCAAGTCACAAGCTATTTAAATGAACTGCTACAAAAGCATTTCTTGGTGATTGTTCATCCTAGCTGACTGGCCTTGTGACTGGTCTTATGAGGGTCACACTGCTAAACTGAAAGCTAACATGATGACTACACTATTCAATGATGTTATGCCGAGCGACTTCCACTGAATTTAAAACATGAGCACTTGTTCCATGTTATTGGTTGCAAGATTTCGTTTCAACGCAGCAAATGCAGTTACAATACGACAAAAACTATATTAAAAAAAGTCATAATAATATGCTTCTCATTTTATGTACAACTGTAAGTTACATTTTTAAAAACTTTACAACAGGCTTCAAGAGGTAAGAACGTGTAACACATAAAACTCTGAAATCCAACAGTTATATGTCGTCTCTCATCTTCTTTTTTTAAATCTAAATGTGAATATCTGTTTTCCAACATGAAAATGTAGCATGCTGCTATTGTCCATGTCCATGTATGATGATTAAGGGCTGGGTTTCAGCGGCTAACAATCACTACACACATTGACTGCTATACCATACAGGTTTGCGGTCCCCATTATCGCTGGGCGATTATTTTGAATAATCGTGATTAGTTCCTCCTACTCATGTCACTTCTCGTGGATTTGCAACTACTGTAATTAATCGCGCCAGCACGATTACATGTAGTTACCGTAGAATTATAAGTACCGGTTAAGTTACACACACGACCTCACTGTACATGATCATGATCCAAGGCACACCTGCTTTATTTCGGCAGTCTCCACTGACAGACTTGTGGTCGACTGGGCCAGCTGCAGTTCAGTTCAACGAACTTTAGCCTTTCCTACTATTAACCTTAGTCCAAAAATGTACAGTAGCAAGAGTTACCAACTGCAAGTATCCAAGGCTTCTGTGTCATGTTGAAAGGAAGTAAACTGCTCGTAGTTCATGGGTTCATGAATTCATTCCGAACAATCTGGATATTTCAAATTACGCACAGATCCACTTTTGGATGCTCGTTAGTTTGTGTCTTGGAGTTTTGAACTTTGTGACTGAAACAAGTAAATGTAGAACAGCCTTACTGCCCCATCTACAAAAATTTGGAAGTTTCTCTGTTTCATAATTTTTTTCCACACTTAGTGAAGGGTTTGTAGAATAATTAACTTGGTGAGTTCGATGAGTAATACCTGAACCGTCATACATGTACTTCATGTTCAATGAAGGAAACAATTTTTCTCTGTGTGAAATTCTGATTTCGAGTCTTGTTTACCTTATTTTGTATAATTTAGAGTTATTGCTTCATTCTATCCACCATAACGCGACTGAACTCAAAACACTAAACCACATTTTACACAAATGAGAATTTCCCAAGGTAATGGTCGAATGTGATCACTTACTGCACTGGCAGACCTCAAAAGTTCAGACAGAATGCCCTTTGAGACAGACAGGCACTGAAACCCAACCATGTGGCCGCCCTGTGTAGCCCCAATCTTAGAAAGTGTTCCAGATACCCGCCCAGTTCAGCCAGTGCCAAAATGACGCCACGAGACTGTGGCTGCACTCACTGGCTATTATCCGTCAGTCAGTTAGTGATAAATTATCCATATTGCCTCACATGCTAAAACAATGAATGAAGGCTGAACAACAATGTCTGTGGGCTATACCATTGAGAAGTTTAGGGAGGTTATTTAGAACTTCATAATGTGAGAATTTGGAATAAAAGTAACTGAGTAATCAGAATTTTCCCCACGTTTAAAGGTAAGAATGATTCTATTCAAACAGTTTCAGACAAGCTAGCAGCTTTTTTATTTTAAAAGTGAAGGAATCTGCAATCTGTATTAAAGCTTCCACAACAAAGATTTATTAAAATTGTCCTATACACATTCAGAATGGAATCGACGGCCAGGCATCCTGCTTTTTGGCAGACTATGTAGTTTTCCAATTCTTGACTACAGCTCCGTTGCAGGCCTCAAATGTTTTTTTCTTTACCTGACTCTGAAGTTGTTAACGCGATAGTAAGTCTGACAGTGCCACAAAATATCAAGGTCGATGCAAAAGAGCCAAATATTACAGTACTTCAAATTAATTAAAATGCTTCAAGCCTACAATCAGGGATTGGTTTTATAGACGAAGCCTCAGACAGAGATGAAGTTGAAAAATGGCCCTTAGTCACATGTAGTTGTTGTACATGTACAGTATGTACTCGGATGCAACTGGAGCTCAAGCCGCAACCGTTCCAGCATAACCCGTATGTAATCGTGATAATTTTATAGCAGCTACAGAGAATACTGCCACTGGCTTTCCAGATTTCAGAATTAATGAAATAACATAAAAGCAGAAACATAACAAACTTGCCCTGGCACTTGCTGCTGCATAGTGTGCATTATACTTGTGCAGAATTTCTGCAATGAAACTGATAAAAGCACCATATTCACGAGTTGACACCACGTCTCGGAATTTTTGCCACTACTTGTGATTAATCGATTGACCCTAACCACACAGAATTGAACACCAGTAAAGTGTGTGAATTTGTGGCACTTGGTACTGTAACCCTAAACTGCTTGTGCTTTAACATGGGTTCAGGCATACCCAAAATAAACAGAGTCCAACAGTTTTTGTGCAGAGTTTACCATATGGTGCAGGAATTTGTGTGAGTGGGTATGGTTCCTAGTAAATCACTCTGGGAGTTAGGGTTAATGGCGATTAGTTCGTGTGTGGTTAATCGATTAGCAAAATTCACTAATTGCCCAGTGGTAGTCCCCATTGTGTTTATTAAAGTATTTATTGCACTCTATGTATGGGGGAAATACATGTAGATTTATTCGTTCACATGTAAAGCAATGCTTACAGTCACTGCAGCGAAACCTCCACCTGGACTGCCATTCCCCGACTGGTTGCTGCTGCTGGTCCCTGACTGACTAGTATCCTGACTCCCCTGTGGTTCATTGTCTGTGACATCTTCAATAACTGGCATGGTGCTGAACAGTTCTTGGCTTCACAATTCGGCTTGCTGTTAATAAAGTCAAATCTGCGACTGTGTCTCAACTCTGATAAAGAAACTGATAAAAAAAATACACCAGTTGGAAAACGTGTCACCACAGTAAAACGGCTTCTACATGTAATTCCGGTTGCTGAATTACACTATATTTGGCTGGTGTCAGCTACATTTATTGTAACTAAATGATAGTTTACCAGATAAACATGTGCAATGACACTTTGGGAGAATAGAAATTTTTATTGTGACAAATTTTAGTCTGCTTCTCAGCCAACATTGTTGCTGTGACTTCATATGCATGAAAACGGAATCAGACCATTTGCTAATAACTTTTCAAAGTTATTTCCTCTCTTCTTTCTTTGATAGGTACATCCAAGGGAAGACATTCACAACTGTAACAATGACGTCAAGTTGGCTCACTTCTTTTTTTGTTACCGTTGCCATGGCAACTTGTCTAATCTTCAATTTGATTATATAGGTAATAAAAGATTCATTTAAATTCATAGCATGTATTGTACATGACAAGAAAACATCCATATTTGTTAATTGAAAAAGTACACAAATGTTGTGTTCCAGTGAGAAGTTATATTCAATTAATTGTATTTTCAATTGTCTACTGTTGACATGGTAGACTACTTGGTAAACAAATTCAAAGAAACATATTTCTAAATTGGCAGGTGCTGCAGAGCTTCTTTTTTTTTCATTTCTTGTGACAAAGTGTGGTGGCCTCACTCTCTATAAAGTCATTGTAATTTGCTCTGATAACTAAAGCAAACTGAAGTTAACATTGGAGCAGAATATTTGGTGACAGTACAGTAAGTGCACAAGGTCCGCCACCATCCCCCCCAAAAAAATAATGTGAAGTGAAAATATATTGCTTTCAACATGAAAATTTCTAACATTTTGATATACAAGAAACAAACAAAAGGTTGGGCTTACATGGAGGAAATCAACCTCAGCCCCCACAAAATCAATTTGTGAATTACACCTGTGGGGCGTACATGTAGCCGAACTGTTGCTCAAAAAAATCCCCCAACCACACTTTATTTGTGTTTGTATGTACAATTTTTAAATTAGAATTAAGAGGAACAAAGTCAGAAGAGTCACCAAATATAACAATACATGTACTTGCTACTTCTTTTGAAAAACTGTAAAAACACAGTACTTAGTGATAACTACGAACTCATGACACCATAGACAAAATCATCAAAAGTAGTGCGCATCTGCCTCTCTATGTACAGTGGCACGTGTGAGGCTATCGGGCGCGACCGTCATGTTGACCGGCTGCCACGCACTCATGCCCGGCAGTGGCCATTCAGAAAATCATGGTGCACTTCATCGCTCGGCGGTCAAATGTGCTCACACTCACAATCTAAACCTTAATCTTTCTGAGGAGTTTCTGACCAAATTGTTCAACAATGATTGCCAGTTTCTTGTAGATGTACTGGAAAGCCCGTAAAATGTCACTTGAAACAATACCCATTTTTAGTGGATCAAAACTCCCAGAAAACTTCACGTTTTTGTGGAACTCTTGATGACGAGTTCAGGCAGTTTAAACCCTATCCACAAATGATGAAAATAGTATGGTCCCTGGGGCTAGCAATCAAGGTTACTGCATCATGTCTACAGGGAGTCAGGTGACTATGTTTGTGTACACAAAAACGATCCATGCGCACAAAGCGTGCAGAGTAACCCATTTCGGTCCTGACAGTCTGGTGAATGAGCCATACATGCGAAATGGGATTCATAGGTGTTTTCACTGAGTCTCCACGTTTAGGATGGACCATTGTGGGGCCAAGGATATGGATGTAGTAGACTGGCCCCGCAGTCTGGGGCCAGCTAGACAGAATCCAAACAAAAGTTATAGGGGCCTAGGTCAGGTCCCCAGAACACACAGCATACTGGAGTGGGAAATACTGGGAAATAAACAACATCTACAACCACTGCAGCGTCCACTGGAGGTCTTTGACTTTGTAATGGTCTGCAGCTTGAAGAGAAAAACTGACCAAATAACCACAGTCATTGTTGTAAAGCGCCCTCGCTGCTCGGTTTGCTAATCATTTAGCCTAGGCATAGGGCCTCCGTGAAATTTCGAAGACGTTTGATATCTCTCCTGCTCCTTTCATGTAAAGCAGAAGACCAGTTTACCCGGTTGATGTCGTAAAACTCATACCCTTCTTTTCAACTCAATTCAAATCAATAAGCAACAGCTTCGGTCACGACTCTTACCGTCAGCCTCTGTCACGGTACGGTCTTGTCCGTCGATGGAAATCGACCAAAACCAACGAAATATTGCATTAATGTCGGGCGTCCAGACGAACAATCGACTAACCATAGGAAGGATCTTTGATTATCACTAAAGAGCCACACTACGATGTAGCGCCCTCTTAACCTCTTCTGGCCAAACTAGGGATATCTAGGGGCGGAGTAACATAGAGAGATGGAGGGGGCTGGGCAAACGGGATGTTATAAGCATATACCCATGCAGTGGCGTAGCTAGGATTTTACGGGGGGGGAGGGGGCACCAGTATCTTATGGGGGGCACCAGCTTTCAGTGGTGTGGGTTTTTTGAGGCAAGCTTTTGTTAGCCTTGTTCGGGGGGGGGCACCTGGAGGGGGCACTGGAAATTTGTGTGTGGATGTGTGTGTGTGGGGGGGGACTACAAGTGAAAAACTTTTTTTGCCAAAAGGTTGAAACCAACACAACAGCAACTTGACCACTTTAAGATAATTGAAATGTTACAAAGTACAGTTTCAAGTTGATACTGCAGACCGGGAGTCAAACATTTGACTTGCATATATTGAGGATAAGAATAAAAAGCCCCACTCTAATGCTGATGACAGCTGCTTTCTATAAATCTAACATTTTCAAAATGCTTTGCATCATGCCTGACCACAGACATCACCAGAGAGGGGATAGTTCTCTTTCCAAAGGTGGGGGGGGGGAAAACACTCTTAGGCAGCAAACTGACAATTAACAGTAGAAAGCTCGGGGTCGATTCCGAGTTACTTTCATACAATTTGGTGATTTTCATCTGCTTTTCTCTTGCTTTCTTCATTCCTTTTATTTTTTCTCCCTATTTTATTTTTTTCAACTTTTAAGTAGGGATGCAAAGCACTCCAAGTTAGTCTCCTCCCATTACACCCATGTGCCTGATTTACTGGATTTCCTTTTACAACTAAACAATATTGCAATGTACACACACACACAAAAGGGCTTACAAAGTCCAAGAAAGCACAAAGAAGGACAGAAATATCCACACAGTGAATGACGCATCATATATTTAAGGAATAAGTGAGTTGAAATTTGTTATTAACAGTGGTATTATCTTACTATGATGAATTAGAGTGCGGGCAGGTGTGTTGTTAAGAAAAACTAGTGCACAAAGTGCAGATACAAGTACTCAATTCCAATACTCATTTAACTAGCTCAGATACACACATTCAGTGTTACATACAACCCTAACCTACTTTCAGAACTGGTTTTTAGAACTGAATTCCTTTAAATTGTCAGGATTATTCACTAAATTGTACGTGTAACAACTAGTATTTGGTACCACAGTATAGCCAATATGTGCAGAAACTAAAAAACGCCTTTACAAGGCAACAACAACAATCAAAGGGAGCTGCACTAATTACTTGCAGAGACTTGTACAAAATATCACATAATTTTCAACTGTCTTTGATGAACATGGATACATGTCAAACCTATTTTTGTTGACACGCTAAACAAGTTTCAACTGGCTACATTCCCACAAACCTGTCTCTTCTTTGCATATGATCTGAGTGCCACAACCAACACATTTCCACTTCAAATTTGCTACAAGATTTTATATGATTTTCCACATTTCCACGGTACATGTGATAACAGGTGTTGTGCAAGGTGGGGTGAAAAAAAGTGCAGTTATATTCTATTAAAGCAATTCTACTTCAATGCTCCATTAAGGCACCATCATAAGATAACTATTGAAGTTGAATACACATTAAAACATTAGAAGTGTTACAAAACAATGTCTTCCTTTCAATGTTAGTTCATGAAATGTATTTAAAAGGTCCATACAATGCAATTGTTTCTACTATTATGCTTGAAAACACATCTGTGTTTTTCACTCAACCTTATTTTGAACTTTTATTTTGCCTTTTTCAGCACGTACATTTTTGAGGGTTTTGGCAAATGCCAACATGAAACATACCCTTCCCATGATCTGTTCTTAATGTGCTAATGTTGGGTTCACAATGTGAACAAAAATACAATGTAATGAAATTAAATATTGCTAATTTCCTGAATGACATCACAGGAACAGTGCCCTCAGATGTCTGGAAAAGTACAAACAATTTTGAATGTCTAAATTTAACAGGTGCAATTTCCAATAGTTTTCATTCATTTGAAGCAAAGCATAAAGTTGCACAAAAAGTGTATTTAAGAAAACTTCACTGCATGGCCACCTTGACATGCAAAGAGATCACATATTATTCTACTCCAAACTTTTTCTAGAAGTATCAAGTTTATAGCAGGTAAATGATGAACACTCTCTGTTCCTTTCATAGAGAGACACTTTAATCATGTACGTCCTCCACAGTTGGGAAAAATGATTCCATTGTTTTCCCGCTGCTCTTGTTTGTACTCATAGTTGACCTGTTGGATTCCTTAAGTGGTACCACTTTGGAGGAATGGACGTCCCAGTTTGCCTTGCGGCGTTTGAAAACCTCTTGGACCTGAGTGATTGCAACGGTAACATGACTCGTATTTCCTAAAGTTCCAAATTGTGCAGTGACAATGGACAAACTATTTGAAACCTTTGTGCAAGTGTGTGAGCGAAGTTTTAAATGGGCTGTCAATCAGCACTTATTATGAAATGATATTGGCCACAAAAAACTAAAACATGTATTCAGAATATTTAAAACCGGTTTTGGTGTATTTACATACACTCAAAATCCCCCTATTTTTTTTATTCGTACACTTGCCAATGATCGTATAACTGTGATTTGTAGTCCTCAAAATAAGTCTTATTAAGACTTTGCAAAACTGATTTTATCCTATAAATGGCATTTCAAGGCAGCCGTATAAAACAACAAATAACTCAAGTTTGAGACTTGATAATTCGAACAGTTATCAAGGTAACATGCACACAACCTACCTCCGAGTTTAAAACGCAGTAGAACAGGAAAAGAAACAACCCCTGAAGTGAGTTGAGAATTGTGAAGAGATACAGGAATACTGTAAGGTCTGAAGAGAGGCTCAACATGCCAAATACCCAAGTCAGCCCCAGCACTGGCTGCAGCATCAAGGTAGCTTTGGCTACTTGTCTGGGGATGAGAATAAAACGTGTGCGTGTATAAGATTATAAAATGATAACACAGAGAAAATGCGCCAACAGAAGAATATCAGATATTGCTGTGGTATAGTAACAATGCTCCACGGCCAATTTTCAGTTGGTATTCATTAGGTCACGAAAATGCTGCATCACAAGAGCATCAAATACTGCGGCGGTATTAACAACGGTGGAACAGGCCTAGGCCTCGATCTGGACCAAGAGATTGAGGGGGCAATTTTCCGAGCAATGCAGGCTTCTTTGGTTGGAACCACACTTTGCTGGTTTCCAAATGACTATGAACAGCACTGTCGCGTCACAGTCGCATTACTATAACAAGAAATTGAGCACTTCTGACCAACATGGCTCTTTCAGCCGATAAGGGGGTGCTTCTGCTCAAGGCGGTAAACACACTATGACAACTTGAATTACTTCCATGGTAAACAGTAACATCCACTGCAAAAGTGTGGAGTTAGATAGAATAGTTTGCAACTCTAAGATACAACTCTGACTGGTCAATGCATACTGAGAGGAGGATATAAGTCTATAATGCAGAGTCCAACATATCCAATCAGGAAGCTGTATATACTGTTGTGAACTAAGTTAGTGAGTTTCAAGATATACAGCAAATATTGGCTGATATCATCCAGCTTGGGGACAAAAAATGAGTTTGTCATGAACCTCAAAAATTAATTACCAAAACGCCAAGTGATTCTTAAAAACAGACGTACTTAGCCTGGTTCAGTCCACTTGTTGCATTCGCAGAAGAGAGTTTCCTGATCAAGCTGACAACACGCACAAGGATGCAGGTATTGATAACTACAATAGCCAGCATGGGTGCCACAAACATCCAAATGGAGTTATCGGACGACTGCAGCCAGCATCTGGGAAGGAGGATGTCAGAAGTTTGCTGGGAAATGGAAGCTCTTAGAACTATTGAAAGTTGTTCTGTATCAATGCACTTTGAACAAGTTTTATATAGCATTAAATAAAATTAATGAAAGCCATAATAGCCATCATAAAAACAACAGCCTGAAAATACAACATTGCCCCCCCCCAAAAAAAAAGAACAGAAGGATTGCTTTGATTAGATTGCAACAGGTTTAATACGCATGCTGACAAACTATAAACTAAAGTAATGCTATAATGAAATAACATAGCATCCGTTACCACATCGGTGTTTTAAGCAGGTTACTTCAATGTTTATGCTTATCTCAAAGGTCTGCCAACAGCTTTTGTCAGTTAAACTAAATGAGCCAGTTAATAGTTCAGGCGAATGTGGAAGCAAAACAGATTTGATGTCATGAAAAATTTGCAGAAAAATCCTGCTTCCAGTTGTGCTGGTATAAGTCAGTCTTGTTTTACAAGATGCATTACATCAGTAGGAATGATCGTAACAGTCTAAATTAAAAATAAAGTAAATGCTCACGTCTTTGTCCTAAAATACGCAATGAACATAACTAGTTTCATAATTGGCTCTTTTAAGGGCAAATTACCCTCAGGACTTCCAATCTTTTAGGTACTTCAAAACAGTGTGCTCACATCCAAAATTAACTTCTGGTTGGACTTGGCAGGCCTTAAATTAAACACATCTGCCATATGACCTGTCTTGATAATTTATGCTTCAACTGTCAACTTACGTGTTCGATTTGCGAATGCTCTTTGAGAATACCCCCACTGTGACTGCTGCCAAAATGATTGGAACGCCTAGAAATTCAAGCATATTTAATGACATCAGTGATTTCTGGACCAACTCATTCAGTGCATACAAGGCCCATTGGCAGATCAGACAAAGGTACCTTAAATGGCTAGATGGCAGGAGAGAACGGAAACTTTCCATGACAACTGCACATTCCCTGGGCCAGAGTCCTCATGCATGTGCTCAATGGCTACAATTTCATAACCTCTCAAACTTGACCTTTTCCAACTGGAAAAAATCTCAAAAAGGGGAAAAGAAATAACTCCACTGGGATTCGAACCAAGAACACCCACCATCCTTGTCATTACCCATTATCCTTAACGCAAGCCAGCATTTTTCTTTTCTTCGTCTATTGTACCCAGGACCCCACATGCTTATGCTGAAGCTGTTATGTATAAGTCAGGTAATACAAAAACATATTTCGGCGATTAAAAACTGAGCATTTCTCTGTAAAAACCTGTGTATTAACAGCCTTTCAGCATTTTAGCAGCATTTCATGTCTAGTTGTGGTTGACATCAACTAACTTTAACTTTACATCAACTAAACTAAAAAATGCACATGTATAACAACTTAATGCCATACTGATAACATACACTTTATGCTGTATAATTTTTTGCTTGTCATCTATCACTATGAATTGGTCAATTCTACAGAGCACCAAAGTGTGATGTCATTTTGAACCAGAATGTGTACATGCACATGTTGGTTCATATGCTAATGTTTTTTACACATGCATACTTGTGCATATGATGTATTTACTTAAGTATTCAGACGTAAATTTTGGGGAACTCACCCCATGCAAAAATCATGTACAACTTGAGCCTGCTCCTCTCAATATTGAACACCACCACAACCTGTAGGTAGAGGTGAATACCTTCAACCAACATCCAGAAGAAACTGGCCTGGTTGGTGTAGTAGATCCCCATGGCAACTGCTATGCATGCATCCTGGTAACAAATACAAAGCCAAATCGATCCCTATCATCAGTATGACCAACACTGACCAAGGCTGTAAGCCTTTGCTTGTATGCATAGCCTTATAGCAGTGTTGTACATGTAGTTGAGTCACCATTCAGTTCGAGTCTGAGTCATGAGTCACAAACCTCGAGCAGTGGCTAGCTGGGATTTTACTAGTGGGGGGGGGTACAAGCATCTTTGGGGGGCACCAGCTTTCAGTGGTGTGATTTTTTGGGGGCCAGCTTTTGTTAGCCTTGTTTAATATCCATTCATTCATTTTTAAGTTGGGGGGTACCTGGGGGGGACACCTGGAATATGGGGGGGGCTGTGCCCCAGGCCTCCCCCATGGCTAAGCCATGGCCATGGCACGAGTCTGAATCACAAGCTTACTTTGAGTTTGAGTCTGAGTCACAAGCCCAAAGGCAACATCTGAGTCACAAGTCATTTGTTATTCTAGTTTCTAGGTATGCGCAGCAGACAACGTACCTGCCAGATTGGTGAATCACAAGAAAAGGCTGTATGTCAAATATATATATTTGTCAGTATGACAACTGTTTGTAGTTAATTTCAAAGCATATCAAACCACCTGCTGAATAATGCAACACGGAAGCTTTTTCCTCAGTATTCATTTCTAAAGAATGGCATTTTCAGTCTAAATGGAATGTTGTGTCCTTATTCAATGATGTCAAATTGTCTTTTTGGAAAATCTACTTACACTGTGCTTAGCAGGGACGTCTAAGAATAGAAACGTAATGCGAGCCAGGCCAACAGCAATGGCTAAGTTGATGTGGACCAACACACGTTCTGTCTTGATGCTGGTATGGATAAAATAGTATTAAGACTATCAGATTTGTTGCAGTTCATTCGACGAACATTATATTGACAAATTTACCTTTCTGCGGGCATGCTTCCTGCTCAAGTTTTGAGAGAGTGAATGAATGAAGAATGCTCAAAAAGAAAATTTACAATCATATACAACCCCACTCTGATAAATTACATCAGTTGTTATGAAGCTTACCTTTAAGGGGATTGTTTGACCTCAAAGCGCATTAATTAAGCAATCAAGTCTCCTTAACTTTGTTTTTCTTTTTTTCCATGAAATAACTGAAATAAATTTCAGCTCACTAAATTTCAGCTCACTTTAAGAAAATAAATGTTGCAACCAACAGGATGACACCAGCTACCGACAAACTGCAGCCGATGTAGGATGCAATCTCCAGTGCTCTCTGATTGGTTTCAGATATCTGAAGCAGCAAAGACACAAACATGACAAAGAGGAAGAAAAACTACATTAACAAACAAGCAACAACAACAATTACACTTTTTACAACACGAGCTTGTCTGCGTCAGACTTTAAAATTATCCTGACCTTATTACTGGGGTATGTCAGTCATGCATGCAGTCCTTGTGATTTGAAAATTGCAAGTGTGTGAAAAAAACACTCCTGGACATTTCCAGGCGTGCAATTTTTCTAGGCGTGTGATTTTGAAAAATGAATCATAACCTTGGGTCAATCAATACATAGTAAAATAGAAAGATGAAATTGGGTCAACATTACATATAAACAATCAACAAAACCAACAAAAAAATGATGCAACAGTTTCAGATCACACCCGCTTACTTCAAGAAAACTCGAAAAGATATGTCCAATACATGTAACAGATTCAAAGTTTTATGATGGTTACAAGATCATGCCCTTTCCATAATAGCAGCCTTGACAGACCATACAGAGCTCCTCTGATGAGCCACAAGATCACTCCAATTCTCCATTAAATTTTTCAAATAAATTTCCTGATTTTCCAGAGATTTCTCACTGCCAGATCTCTTTCCTGTGAGTTATTTCCATTCATAACGCTAAAAAAGTTTATTGGGAAACATCAGGACGTTTACGTGTCTGCACACAAAAATCTGCTGTGATCCACGCTGGCATGATCTCTCCATGGCTTTTACGCACTATGTTGTGCATCATGATTGACTGGTCTGGTCCCAGTCTGGACTTCAAAGGAATTCGTTGTTTACTACGCATAGGGAGCGTGTGCCTGCGTATTGAAAGCATGTCAACTTCTGGAGATCGTTTTGTGCAGATGCGGGTAAAAGCCCAATTTTTTTTCCGAAAAATACCATTGTTGTGATTGGAACAACTTACAGGACAGACATCTCCACGAAAAACTTGGGATAATCAGGGAATTCATTGGGAAAATTTGACTGAAAAGTGGTGTGATCTCATGGCACTGCATTTGACATGTAGAAGCACGTAAAGCCATGTACAGTCTGGTGTATGTAGCATTACGCATGCAGCAACCCTTGCTGCAGTGCTGCGCAACGTGCATGTGCTGAACGATTGTACACTGACAGAGCTGTTGCGCTCAATTGTTTCGCTGGGAGAATAAAAAATGATTCCGTCATCCCTTTCTGTTAGGTAGGCCTACTGTTTGATTCTTTTTGTTTCATTTTTCTCAAAAATTGCAAAGTATAATTATAAAGTAAACTCATGCCGAGGAGTGCGGTACGGATCGTTTCAGGCGTGCAATTATTTGCACTTCTCGGGAAGCTTTAGGCGTGTGATGGCGTGGGAGTGCAATCGCATGCCTTAAAACAAAAGGACTGTGCATGACGGTCTCACCTCTATGTCCTTGACTTGCGTCAGGACAGCAAAGCTGGTGAGATGACTGCAGGAGCATGTGACGTAGTTGGCGGTGTGAGTGGTGAGATTACATCCCTTGGAGGACCACCTACCTCCAGAGGAATTCCTGCCCAAACATACAAACAATTAAAAGCAACAAACCAACCCACCCCTCAAATGAATGCCTTCATGAATCAGTGTTGTAATCGAGATCACTAAAGACCATTCCAATGCTCCACAGAACAACATGCAAGACATCAAGTCTGAATTCAAGTCACAAGCCATTCAATTGAACATTTTGCATTTGTCACTGTCTGCACCCGGCCTCTACTCTGGAATGATCCATCTTGTGAATGATTTGTTCTCTCTTCCAGTCATAGCAAAAGTCATGTCTTTAAACAACATGTTTCAAACAAGAGAAATAAAAAACACGGTTTTTAGGGTGTAAATTCAACTAGGGAAACCCTTACTTGTTTCCCTCAACTATGGCACTAAAAAAGGGTACTGTGAGGGCACAGATGGGTGTCATGCTCCAGTATACCCTGAAATGGCTGGATCAAGCTGTATACTCCCCAGAGCTGACATGTTAATCTTTCCTTAGCTAGCCCTAACACTCCTCAGTCCTCCAACAGGTGAAGGATTGAGGAGGGTTAGGGCTAGTGAGCAGGGACAACAGCATTAGTATACCAGGACTTTGTGTATAATGGGCTTAGGAATAACATAAAAATGCCCTGTTCATAATATTATCCTCATTTTATATAATATTCACATAGCACTGGTGCAAACATCAACAGTCTTGAACAAAACATGAGGAATCAATTACATGCCAAATAAAAAAAAAAAACAAAACCCAAATACCTCCTCCCCAAAAACAATAACCAATGATAAACAAATGTGCAAGTCTGACTCACTTTGTGTCCCAGTAAACACATACAGCTGGGTCCAAATCAACATCTCTGTTTAACTAAAGTATGTTGAAAGAATGACAAAATCAAGAAAAATGATAAAACTTGGAATGATTCTGTTAATAACCTTCACACCACATATTTGTATAAATCTTCCCAGCAGAATTTGCAAACTTTGCATGCGAGTTAATGACTTTTTTGCTCAAAGTCTGCAAGAAAGAAATCAATGATTGAGATCACCAAACAAAGAGCAAAATTTATTTATTTCACTTGATGAGCATGCAAATTTCATACATAGGAATTTGTTGTTTGTTTAATGTTAAACTTCTTAAGTTGTTAACAATTTGTAAAAATTGTATCGTGAAATGAAATGTTTAAGCAGGGATCTCAGATTACACTGCCAAATTGCCATCAAAGGAAGAAATTGGAACAGAAGTTGGAACATATACAATGGCAGAAGCAGGAAAATAATTACTTTCAAAATGTGATGAATAATGCAAAAATATTTTCAAAAACTTCCAAATACTTTCAAGTAGCCAAAGCATACACCACTTATACACCCCTGCTAAGGAAAGGTGTATGTGGTTGTTGCACATGTAAAGAAACAAATTACAAATAAGTAAAACTGTATTTGTCAGTAAGAATCATTCAGATAAGAGATTCTTTATCAGCCTTTGTGACGGAATGGAGGTTCAGGGCAAGTGTTTGCCTCCAAACAGTGATTAAATGAACAATTACAGAAAGTATATATGCCCTTTTGGTCTGTAATTTGTCACTTGAGGTTAAATCATGCAAGCCAATATGTGGTACGTACCTCTTTCATTTCGTTTAAACCAGGTGTATTCTTCCTTTCTATTTCTTAAAAATTTTTTATTCCTCTTATATTAAAGTTTTGATGGCTTGATGTGCCAACGTGCTTGCCGATAGATGAAAATCAAAGTAATATTTGGGAGGGAGTTCTCCTTAAAGTCTCCAAGCGCAAAATTAAATGACGAGTTCGCATTTTCTACTGAATGTGTGAAAGTACACAGTGCAACCGAATTTGAAGGATTTAAATAAAAAAAGAAGCGTTAGAGCAATGAGATGAGAAAAATCGCTCAAACACAAATGCATGTTCATGAATCTATTGTTTTGACGAATTTGGCAGGGAAAACCTATAGAGAGTACAACTAAGCAATATGTAGGAGGTACTGTCCCTTTTCCATCGCATACAAAGCAAGTACTGCCTGTAGGAATCAACCTATTGAATCAGACTCATAGAAGTTTGAAGAATTAGAAAGTACGGCCTGCCATTTCATTATAAAAAACGAAAACCAAAAACAAAACGGGAAAAGTATCTTGCAGGTACCTTACGAATGTGGGTCTCAAACTCCATAGAGACAGGTTTCTGTGTGAAGACGCTGTCATCTGGTTGAGGTGTAATTGAGACACTGAGGACTCTACTCAAAACAGCAATCTTAGCTGAAGAATTGCTAATAATGCTACAGCAAAGAAAAGTATAATAAATTGTCATGTATTCACCATGAACAGATGGCATAATCTTGCATATGTAGGAACAAAAGTACCCATAACAGTAGCATCAAACTAAATTAAAGAAACCAACACTTTATTCCATCATGACACCATAGCAGGACAAAAAAATATTCACTTTAAGTATTGTTTTGTGAAGTACATATTTGAGAAAAACAATTTCAAATGCAAATCCAGTGTTCACAGAAATTTGGTTTTGTTACTATTCCAATTTAACCTAATAACAGTAAGTATAATGAACCTTTCAGTGTGGGAAAACATCATTTTCACATCTGAACTAGATGAAGATCCAATAACCCCGTCCAAGTTGCGGTACAGAATGGACACGACTGCAGAGTTCAACTCATTCTCAAATAGTTCCATTGGTACAAAAGCTCTGGTGGCAACATCATCAGTGAAACTGTCGCTCTCCGGGACCATCAACTTTGAAGAATTCCCATCCCACCTCTTGACTGCTGTGGCTAAGTAAAAAAAAAAAAAAAAAAAAAGAAAAACGTGGCCAGGAACATGAGGAAAGAGACTCTGTTGTGGCTTCACTTTCAAAACTCTCCTCATTTCACGTCTACTTCCTCATCCCTTCCCTCCATCACACTTTTAAAAGATGAGCAGTACAATGAGAAATTGGCTCTGAGGTTCATAACTCAGTAGCACAAATTGAATGGCCATCAAGAAATTACATACTGATCGATTAGGGCCACCTCCCTTCAGATTCACATGCTGCTAAGTTATAAATGCATACACACGCCCCATGGTGAAAACTGAGATTTTTTTTCTCCATTAAACAGCTGTCATTCACAACTCATTACAATGGGAAAAAATTGAAAAGATGAGGACAAAAGATGTGACCATGCATACAGTCAACAGAAAAGGGGACTAAAATCTGAATTTTAAGATTTAGGGCATCTTTTATACCTGGCCTATGCTAACTGTACATGTGATGTTGATATACTGAGATAGGCAATAGACATAACTGTAAACTGTTGTTGAAAGAGGGTGAGAAAATGAATGAGTTTTTAAAACTCCAGGCAGCATTCAAGTCGATAAACAGCTGATGAAACGGGATGAAAGTGAATATTAATGATGTTTGGTTGAAAACATTTACAATCGATGCAAATACAACAGTACAAATAGGCATCAAAATGACAATATCATGTCACACTTTAAGCTCATTTTGTAATGATGACAGGTCACATATGTATGGAAATCAAGGGAAAGGTACTCGGTCGTAATATAAGAGACAGTGATGGTCACACTGATGGTCACTCATATGGTCCTTGTGCCCACATCAGTGGTGATGATGACAGTCATGGTGATGATAATGGCTCATATATGATGGTATCACCAACAAAGAACTTTATACCAATATATCAGATGACAAAAATGGAAAGGCAGAATTCCAACCAAATAAGAGGCCCAGGAGTAATGGACCAAGCTTTGGTGTGTCAATTATCAACACCAAGCCAGGTTTTTATTTTGGGTACAACAAACAGTGGAAGCAGCAAACAAAGGATGATTATAAATGGCAATGAAGAACACACAAAAATCCTTGGCAAACATGCCACGGAAAACCAAATCTGCAGCGGAGACCTACTGTTTTTGAAAACCCCATTCAAGGTACCTTTTTGTGTAAAAGTTCAATCAAAGTGAAAAATTAAAAATTTTCTGATTTTGTTTAACACCTTTTTTTTTTAAACTAATGATTTGTGACACCCATCTAACCACATCTATTGACTCACTCGCACAGTACTAATGTCTGCTTAAACAGGTTAAATGGCATATTGGTGCACTTGATACGTACTGCTTGATGAGTTGCAGAGCACAGTGGCGTTGCAGCTATCTGTAGAGTGGAGTTTCAGCTCCGAGAAATAAAGGCTCATTTGCTGTACTGTACATGCCTGTCTGTCAATTTTGGTGAATGAGGGTTACAGGTTATAAAGGGGAGTCAGGTTGCTGTTGTAGGGGTTCTTTCTCACCTTCCACCTCTGCAGTTCGGGTTCAATTCCCAGCTCTTTGGTCCACATGTAGATTGGGTTTTCAGTCCCTATTTCTGATTCTGTGGGTATTACTCAGACTATTCCCCTGGGGTTTTCCTCTCACTTCTAAAACTGTAACCGCGTCTCATTGTGTCCTCTCTACAGGTTTCTTCAGGCTTGTGAGCTACAGTGCCTAAAACACTTTTGCTGAATCCTTGGTGTCAATATCAGAAACAAAACCAAAAAAATGGAAAAAAAATGGACAAAACCCAATAGGAAATTGGAAATGTGTTTGAAGCAGTGTTGTAGTCAAGTACTTTCCGAGTACCAATGTTCTCCGCAAAATACTGAACTGGGTAAGAGGGAATAAAGCCAGAGTGCACAGGCATTTGATGGTAAATGTGCAAAGGTAAGATTACAAAATAAACGGTAGACTTCAGACACTCCCAGTTGTGTAAAATTTAAGTTTTAAGGAGAAAGGTACTCGCAAAGTACTCGGCCGAGTACTTTCTGAGTACTTTTCTCCTAAAAAGTTGATTTTAATCAAACAGTGATGGTCTGAAGTCATTATGTTGCTTAGTAATCTTACCTTTATGCATGTACCATCAAATGCCAATGTACTTCAGCTTTGTTTTGTCCTAACTAGTTAAATATTTGGTAGAGAACTTGGTTCTCAAAAAGTACTTGACTACATCACTGGTTTGAAGCCAGTTAGTACCAGCAGTTTTGTCATATGTTAAGAACAACACATCTGATGGCCCCTCGACCTCTGGAAATGGAAAACTGTATGAGGTACATGTAAGCAGCCCTTAATACTGTGAACAAGTAAATCCCATTTCCATAAAATAATATGCTGGGAGGGGGCAATAAATCCCCTTATGAATTCTTAATGTGATTTCTTTTAACACAAAGTACCTCTGAATTTATGAAGCTGTCAACCAGTAAACAGCTGTTGGTTATTAAAGATAAAAGTATAAAAACTGAGTAAAATGAGGCCTCAAGAATACATCATAAATTGCACCCATAAGCTCATAAGCTATTGGCCAGGTACAGTGAGTTAGAATAGATGCCAACGTCATGCACATGCAAGTTCCACATTAAGAGTTGACCTACCCCCGCAGGCTAGGGAATAGGCCTGAAAACATGAAAAACAAAGACTGTGATAAACAAAGGCTTCCAAAAGTGACAAAGCAGGTGAGAAGCTCACATTACTTTCAAATAAAAAACACTGAATTGTAAGTTTCCAAACCAATATTATCACTGCTGGAAGAGAAGGACTCCCCATCATTTGTCAGTATCTTATCAGCAAGGGACATCATCAGATGCTCGGTGGTATTTGCAATTTTGCCGGCTGGGGAGCTTGTCATGCCATGGAAACTGGTCTTTTTATAGAGGTTTGTGTACTCCTCCTTCAGAAGGGAATTCGCTACGGACACGCCTGCCTGTAAATTGAAAGTTTATTCATTTATTTTAAACAACATCCTATGATGCGTACACTAGAAAAAAAATGCTAATCTACAATAAACGTAAAATGTCACAAGAACTGTCTGAACCTGAATTGTCTGAAATCGTTATGGGTGTATCGACATTGATGTACGTCAGAATCCACAGGTAATACCAGGGCCTACTTATAATGTCAACCATGCATAATGATGAGCTGTCTATATTTTCAAGAACAGTTTAAATGATCTTTGAAGCTTTCGTGGTGATGATGGAAAATAAATTAAAGGTTTGCAGCATAAGCATCATGCAAGGATATCTCTTTTTTGTTAGTATGTGTGGTTTGATTTTGAAAAGAACCGGAGGGCACTCAATGTTTCAGGCAGTATGCTCTGCCCGTTGTCAGGAGACTACAGAGGCTCCAATAATGAAGCAGCTTATGTGGTGTCTGGACGCGGTGAGGTGTGAAGAGGATGCTAACTTCAACATCAGCAACATCTGATGCCCCATCCTCACATCCCAGTCCAATGGGTCTCCTATACACTAGGACAAGTTTCCAGCCTATGGGTCTCCTATACCTTCCCCCCGCACTGTCCCTCCTTCAGACTGAAGCACCTCGCCGATCATTCAGCATACCATTTTCTTCTTCAGTGCCCTTAGTAAGATGCTGAGTTAGCATCCTCTTCACACTTCACTGCCTCCAGACACCATGCTTCATTATTGAAATCTGTTCAGTCTTCTGATGACACTGAGCATACTGTTTGAAGAGTCAAGTTCCTACCTTCAAGTTCATTTCAGAACCGCACATGCTCACGATAGATATCCTTGCATGGGGCTACTGCAAGCCTGAATTAAATAACGTGAAATTTATAATGTAAAAAACACAAAGAGAGTTTACATTAAGATATAATGGGCTGTAGAACAATACATTATTATTTACACTCACTGCCTCTTTAGGAATCACATCAACTTCTGCTTGTAACTTCCCAGGACTTGAACAAAGATGTGAGCCCCGCATGGTAAACCCTTGCACCCTGTGACACGTGAAGAGTGTTGATAGTATCATACCTGCACAAATGACTTTGAGCTTTCCAAGGTAGCATTCTGCAGTGCGTCCACATTGCCAACTGTTGAGTAAATGTTAACTAATGACACCAGCTCCCCCGGTTGGTCAATCTCGCCTCCGCGATTCAAGATGCTTTGTGCCTGTTCGAAAATCTCCTCACCTTCCTCCAGGCTGATGTTGACAAGTGTCTGTTGGGGAAAAAACAGAGAAACAGGTGGAGGTAAGAGCGAGTTGATCCAACTGAACTAAAACAAAGCTCATTCAATTCAAAGCTTATATCAACCTTTTGACACAGGTCCTAGGTTATTTCTGTTATGTTGAAACCATGTTGAATTACCTTATGCAAGGCTTTCAGTTTGACGTAAATTTTCACTTTTTTATCCAGATTGATACAGATGTAAAGTGAATGCATGGCAAAACTGTGCAAAGACAGTACGTTTTGGCAAATCGGCAGTCTCATGTCACAGATTAGCTGACATGGTCGATTATTTTCTCATCTTATTCTTATTTTTAGGGAGACTTCTAATTGTTTTGCGGAAAGTCTGTAATTTTTAATATACAAACTGACAGCATTTCTGCCTTTTGAGTTTCTGCCTATTGGGCAAGATAAGACTGACTTCCAATATTTTTGTTATTGCTTGTAAATGAGACAGTTATGATACTCTCACCTATGATTATTTGGAAAAAAATGTGAAATACATAGTGACAGGATATCTGTGGTTAATTGCAGAACTAATCACCCAGATATGGAAAAAAATGCTTTGGCAGGCAAGATAATGGGTCTCTGTTTTGATGATGTCACACCTTGTTTTATATACGGGCCTCTTTCTATGGAGCCAATGCAAGCCTACAGTCTACAGAGCACCATAGGAAAGCATGTACATTACGTTTGATGTCCTAAGTACAGAGGCCTATTCTTGGTAAATATTACCATCAATGTTTACCACATCTACATAACATATTCCTGTTGCTTAATTAAGTTAACTAGCGGGCAGAGGGCAAGGTAGTGCCATCATTAAAAAATGACCAATAAAGTGACCAAGACCATGCAAATAAAGATATACCAATATTGGAACTTTCAACTAACAAGGAGCCTTCATAAACTTTTGCCGATGACCCATAGTGAATCAAACTTTGTATGAGCACTGTCACTTTTGTACAGCTGCTGTTTCAGGTCAGATACCTCTTACTACCAGGAATTTCTCACTATCGTCTTTAGTAAATTGTGGGTAGCATCTAACTATAGAATTACCCTGTTTAACAGCTCTTCCAGCGAGATTGGTGTTGGAGTTGTAGAATTAGATACACTGGTACTGTTATACCCTGTTGTCCATGCTTCAGTTGTGGTCTCTGTTGAGTGAAAACACTTCATTTATGCTAACCTGTGTTGTGAATCTCATCTGGGCCCAATTTAAGGGCATGATTTTTACGTTAAAAGAGGGTCCATGTACTTCATGGAGACCGTGAAGCAGTCGGTACAGCAAAAGGAATGCTTACCTCGGAAGAAAAAGTGCTTGACTTAGTGACATGACAATGGAATTCTCAATTTGCATGCAACCATTAGCACAATCATGCCTAGTACAATCATGTCTAGCACAGCTATGACATGGTGCTTATGGCCAGCAAGATTTTGTGCTGTAAAAAGCACAACTTTTCTGCTGACTGTTATGCAGCTCCATGAAATAGGACCCTGAACATTAATGCCATCAGCCCAATGATGGACTATAATATCCACACCACTTGTTTCAAGAGTCAGGGCTAACTGGGGGATGAAAATGCGAGGAAAAAAACACTTTCGGGGTTCTCGACAGGTTATAATTATTGGGCAAGGAAACAAAGAATTAGTTTCTTATCCAAGTCCCCTTTATTTTTCACTCATTACATTATTTAAAAATTGTTTTGGTTGATATGTGAAAGTGTTACAATGTGTTTGTCTGTGTCAAAGCTCCACGCTGTGACCACTGGGTACTCCACTGTGTAATTGTGGGCACGGGTGAATAGTGATGGGCGTGGGCTATGAGTTCCGACCAATAGTCATAACACAGTCCAAATGGTCTCTGCATTACGACTAGTCAACTATCTAGAAACTGATAACTGCAGATATTGGTAACTAATCCACTAGTTGCACTAGTCATATGGCTTTGCCAACACCTACTCATCTTTTTACTCATAATGCATCATAAAATATATGTTAATTAGTAAGTTTTCTGTCAAAAGTTCATGCACTAAACACGGATGCGGACTGATACAAGAAGTTGGCTTTGAGCTTTTCTTTCCAGGGACCATTTTGTCATAAGGAAAAATATACATAATATACACACAGCCATCAAAATTGGCAGTTTGGATGCATTTTAATTGCGACAGACTGGTTTATAGTGAAATGGATCTCACAAGGTATCTTTGCTAAGATCAATCGACATTAAGTTCTGAGAGGAGTTGCGTAATAACACAACGTTCATGAAGATTGTGTAAAAGATAAACATGTCCTCCCTCGTGAATGTGTCCCCCTGGACACTTTTACTGGATTGTACCCCAGTAAAAGTGTCTGGGGGACACATTTAGGTAGGTAAATCTGCCCCCCCCGCCCAACAGTAAATGTGTCCCCTGTGCAATGTCAACCAGAATGTCAATGTCAACTCGTGTACAAGAAAGAGACTTGAGAAATACTATCACGATGTATTTTCATGTACTTGAGGGACATTTGTTGGGCAGCAGTTTCAAGATGTCACGTACAGTCGTTTTCCGAGTTCCTGTTTTATTATGTACCCAAGCCGTTGAAATGAAAACCTACCTCCTTTGTATTGTTCTTTGGGACTAAAATGTATAACTGTGTGGCAAAAGGGGGGGAGGATTTCCTGGAGGGGACTGATTTACTGGGGCCGGGAGGACACTTCTACCTAGGTAATTCTGTCCTCACCCCCCAACCTCTCAGTTTTATTGTCCACGCCGGCCCTATATTCTATGGGCTATTGTCGATGACGTCAGTGACCGTCAGTAATGACGGATTTCCCTCAATTCTTGAAGCAACTGATATAATTATAAAATTCTACAAAATGTTAATCTCTTTCAAATGCCAAAGACATGGCATGCACGTTATGTTGTTTTTATGCAAGTGAGGAGATCTAACCATTTTCTACTCTTATCAAATCACAGTAAAATTTTATTCATGGAAGAAATTATTTTTTTTTATATGAAAATTTGGACAAAACATCTCATGTTACGAATGAAGAATTATAATGTTTTGTTGTTGGTGCCTCTCTAAGAAGACTGAGGACTGTCCACCCCCTCCCTTCCCCACTTTTTCCATAATTTGTCTTTCTTATTTTCTCTCATTCACTGGCAGTGATTTTCACCGCTGGTTCAATAAAGAAGTGACTGAATCCTGCAATATCATTCAACATTCCGTTCACAGAGCAAGCAAAATATGAGAAACAAAATTCAACTCACTCACTTAGTCTGCAATGACAATGCTGGTTTGCCAAAGAATGGATTACCTTTTGCCAGATTATTGATGGCAAGGAGTGATGGAAAAAATGGCAGCTCTCCGGTGTCTTTATGCAGGACCTCACCACATACATGTACTGGCAATGTGCATGCTCAACACTACTTAGTCATGTTAGTGGAGCCACGCTATTTACATGATATGGGACGACATTCTAAGTGCCTTGACTTCGATTTGTTTAAACTACAGGAGAAAATCACTTCATTTACCATCCTACCTCAAAAGTTACTAGTCAAACTTTTTTTGGTGGTGTTTTTAAAGGCAGGTGTAAAGAAAACTTAATTGCAAACACTATGGCGGAAATATTTTTGAATTTTGCAAAGCAGGCTTGAGAATGAGAATATGGGGCAAAAATGAAATTAACCATACCTTCAGATTGGTTGGATCCATAAAATATTAGCTGCTGTTCAGCCAATGAAAGGGCCCGATTCCAGACTGCAAACTCTTCAATTAGCATCCTAGAAATAGTGTTTCTGCATTGACATGAATATATGTTGAAACATGCATGATTTAGTACGACTGAACAAATAACTTCAGCTTTGTGACTAATCCCTCTAACTTTGGAAAAACAATGACTAAAATTTAATTTTGTCAATTTCTATTGTGCACATGAACAACAAATGTTGAAAACAGTTGAAATTCAGGTCTTTGAATTTAGAAGAGAATTCTCAGTCCTCAGATATCATAATTGAGACACATTTTTAAAGAGAGTCAAGCTATTTTAACCATCAAATAATTGGTGTCATCTGCAGTAAAATAAGGCCACAAGAATTGCAAAAACTATTGTGGCTCGCTCCGACAGTTTTTTTTTACAAAGGCACATCAATTCACTCATACAAAGTACAAAATCAGAACTTTTCCTTCCTGTACTTGGACCTATTTTGTGATCAGCTGATCACAATACAGGTTCACTGTTTTCCTTCCACGGATGTTGGCTAAGCAAACTGTTGAAATATTTGATCAAATTCAAGGTACATATGCATGCGTAGTTTATACTGTAGATTTATTCTTTCTGTAATGCTAACTATACAGTCATTAAAAGTGGTGAATATAAGTTAACAAGATAAAAAGATCAACTTTGTTGAGAAAGAGACTTCTTTTTAGGTGAAATAATGTACAAAGTGCCAGCAAAGGGGTAGAGGAAAGCAAAAGATTTTTTTTGTCACCCTCAACCATACCTACATGATCCCTTTGGTTACTTAATGTACACAAACACAAGTGCAAAAAAGAACAGAAACAGCATGAGGTTTTGCAGACAAAACAGAAAACTGACGAATAGAAAACTAAAAACCCATGGCAGCTGTGGATCGGGGAGGGGAGGGTTAGGGTGTCGTAACCTCCCCATGCTCTTAATAAATAACAGGGGAAAAATGAGGTAATTAATACAAAATAACTAAGTAAATGTACCAATACCACTGCAAACGATGTATGTCATGCCATTTCTCATCGTTTCTGCTTGTTCGCAAAAAAATGAGACATTAAAAAAAATCTCCGATCTGAACCCCCTCAGATGTTTTTACATCAGATGTAGAATATTCAAAGTATCCCAAAATATCTTAGTTTTGGGATACTCAAGTGCTGGTTCACTCACTTGTTAAAGTTGCATTAATGATTATAATAGTCTCTTCCGATTTACTGATATTTTGTTAAGTTGCTTTGCAATTTTAAGGTCTATACAAGTTTAATGTTTGTCCAGTAAAACATGATTCTATACTGGTTTTACCATATAAGCATGATAAACGTATAGCTAAGTAGTTTGGATTTTAATCAAATGATTTTATTTTCAATCTGTATTGTTATGTGCTTTAGAAACATTTTTAAGCATTTTGCACATTAGAATGTCATTACTGTTGATGTAAGAAAGTCCCTCACTGTCTGCTGACCGCGCAATAGTTGGTAGGGCCCTCAGTGGTTTACTCATTCTCGCACCGTACATTCCGTTCTAAAGTCAGGGTTTACCAAACTAATATCCAATCAAAATACCTCCAAATTTGCCCTTACCGTGCGTTACTGACAATTGTGAGTACAGCCATATGTTCTTTAGTGTTTATAGTATAAGATCATATAGTGATTCTTGTGTTAGTATGTAAAATAGAGGAGTTTAGAGTACAAACCTTAGCCTTAATCGGGGACAATTGTTGCAACGTTACACGTACAATTATGTTGTCATCTAATGGGCACATGCACGTGCATTCCGGCTAATTTATTAGTATTTATTTCTGTTTATTCCCCAGTTACCACGGTTTCCTGTTCCATATATTTCCAAGACTTCATCACTGGTTTCAGCTCCACCGTTCCATTCACAAAGCACAGTTTCCCCAAGATTGCTACAGTATCCTGGCCAATTGCAAGTCACAACCCCCTGTTTTTAATTATCTGTGTATAGTAAACAGACAGTTTCTTCATTAACCATCCTGCTCATCAGTTTTATCGCTGCCATAGAGTTGTTGAGTTACCCTTTGAGCCACGCCTCCCTTTCCAAGTGAACCTTGTCACTTCTTCGCAGTTGATATTATTATGCATGGTTTGTAATATGCATTTGGCAAAGGATAGTTCACTCTAGCAATAGGTGTGGTATACTGTTTATGAAAGTTTGTTTCATACAGGTGAATAACGAAACTGGTCATGTCCAGATTTGGAGCCAAAGAATTACCAAATCTTTACAGAATTATTTCATCAAATAAAAGTGATCATGGGATTAGTCAATCAACTCTAACAGTCCTCAATCCTCCAACAGGTGAAGGATTGAGGACTGTTAGGGTTAATAATCTAAAAAGCAAAATGGAAATCACTGACTCTCATTTACTCACCCAAGAAGAAGCTGGGGTCCTGCAAACATTATCGAACTCAAATAGAGATTGAACGCACCTGACGTTAAAACACCCGTATTCACATATATCTTTATCTCTAGCCCTGCAATGCACAGAGATAAGACTTCCATTGAAATCTATAGAGGCCAGAACATTCTTAAACTAAGTACTTCATCAGTTTTAAAGAACTTTATTGGAAACTGTCCAACTGAAATGAGGTGTGCAAAACATTCATGTATAAGCTATACAATGATTAATGCCAAATTTACATTCATGGGTTCCTACATTATGTATTTGTACATTTTGTAATAATGATCATGGTAATACATGTATTGGCATGAATCTCGGTAAGTCATGCCTAATTTGCTTGAAAGCAAAGAAATGTTAATTTTACTGTGAGAGCTAGAATTTGAGATTTGAGACTTAACAAGCTAAAATTTATTTGAATAGAAGAAGTCATAAAATGTGCAGCTGTCATCGGTCTGTACAAATTCAAGACCATTAAGGCCTTATTTCAATAGGTTTGTGGGCTTACCAACAGAATGTTGCACAAGCCACATTTGAAATTCCTGTGCTAAATATTTCTTAAGTTATGGCACTGACAAGATTTCTGTTGTCTTAGCCATTTCGACTTTGACCTTTGTTTCTTGGACCCAAATTCAATAAGCTTCTTAGGATCACCCATGAGCAATCTCCAAACCAAATCTGAAACTTATACCTACAGTAATTATCAAGTTATCGCACTGACAGGAATATTCTGGACACCATGATATACACCACACCTACAGACCACCCCCCACCCAAGGAAGGAAAAAGCTGAAACAGTATATTCCTTCATATTTCATCGGTGAGGCATAAAAATCGTATGCAGCCACAAACAGTCACTCATTAATTCTATTCAAAATGTGCAAGTTATATTGTTTGGTGAGAAGTTGCCAGAGACTATGACCAACCTTTTACAGTATTTGGTTCCCAGTTTATGTAGACAAGAAGTTCCTTATTAATTAATGAATGACCAAATCCCACATTTGCATTCCACTGATGGCTCCCATTGACGATGTCACATCTGTGGAAAAGAAAAGACTGTATTAAAAATGTATTCAAATTCACGAGAGATGGAAGCAAGCATAATTAAAAGCATAACTTAGTAGTAAAAAATCTCAGTAGGGGATCTGGCTGTTTCCAGTGTGTACACTGTTCATCCAGACAACATGCAAACACAATCTGGCAGCCTGCATGCACTGAGATACCTGACATGATGGGCAAAACTGCTTAACATGCCTGATTCACTGCCAGCAGGCATCTGCCAATTTGTTTCCTACAAACACTCTGGGAGCAGAACTTGACCGCTGAACATTGCCTGTTGTAACAATTAAATTTGCTTTAAGGCAGCCCCCTGAATTTTTGCAAAATATGAAATTGGAGTCAGAAGATCCGATATACAGACATCATTCAAATAACTTGAACAAGTTAGTATTTGTTGTATTTGGCTTTATCTCAAATTTTGTAGGCCACAGCAAATAGCATCTAAGAATATGGCTCTAAATCTGTGGTATACTTCCATAGATTGTACGTAAGTCCAGATACCATGCACGATATGGGGCTGATGGGTACCCCCCACACATCCAATCCCTATACACATTCTTTATTGTTACCTAACACATCCCCCTAGAAGTCTGNCAACACAAAGGGGGGGGGGGTTCTCTCCACCCCATATCTTGCATCATAAGTCCACTTTAACACACCTGCAGCTCAGTCTTGGTAAATTGTCTTATTTCACGTCAAGCATATATACAGTGTTTTGCCATCTCTAACAATTGAATGAGGGCATGGAAGTAATACAAGAAAATCTAGACCCATAATGTCCTTAATTGGCACACAGAGGTCATTGAAGCCACTGGTGAACATGGCACTGTGCCGAATACAACGATAATAGGAAGGCTTGCTTGCTATTGCCAACCATCTTTATTTGTTCATGGCATCAATAGTTAAAATGGCAAGTGAGCTGATCATTGCCTTCGTATTTGGCACAGTAAAATGGCTGCCAGTCACCTACTGATATGATGCAGAGTAGCACAGTTTACCAGAGAAGGGTTGGCGAGGACACACAAATCTGAGGATCACATGAAAAATCCTACTAATGTGATAGCAAATCCTGATCCAGAAATTTAATATAAATTAACCTGACCAGAGGGTATATGGAAATATATCGTATATGGAAACTTAAGTAATATAGGGGGGTGAGTCAGGTTGGCATAGTGGACATTTCTTTCCTCGCCTTCCACCTCTGGGGGCCTGAGCTCAAATTTGGCCTGGTCCACTGCATTGGCTATAGTCCAGCTGAAAAGATGCATGATATACAGTATAAGCCATCACTGTCACAGCATCTGACTGGGTGGACTTGACCTAGAGTGGAGACTAGAAGTGATGGAGGGTATTGAATACCGCATGAAGATCCACTGCACTGATCTGAGGGCCCGGAACGCGAAGACTCAATCAGTCCTACACAAGCTGAGAGGACATCATGATCAATGCTCCCAGCGCAACAACAACGCAAATTGTGGCGATCATCATCTTTGCGGTGATCATGGAAAGTAAAGGTTACTGTTGACGATGTTGAGGTCATCTGTCCAGCAATATATATGTAAATAGAGTATAGCCATTAATGGTATGATCACAAGCATAATGATTGGACTTCATTTGGGAATATATGTTGTAGATGTTGACGTAGTGGTGTCATCATGCAAGAAACACTATGTGGGACAAGATTTACAAGGCTGGCCATTAAAGCCCAACGAGACATAATGAAGTGAGATCCACTATTGATTGATGAGATATACATGTAAGCACTGTCCAAGGTTGGTACGTACATGCTGGAGTTCATCTGATATCGAGGTGGTTCCCAGGAAGACAGGTCATTGAGTTAGGCCAATTGGAGTAAATTTCTTGGAATTTAATTTAAGTCCTAGTTGTCCAGATATTAGAGGATCATGGCATCTCCAATCTAGATATGCTGCAGCCACTCTATGTGAGTGAAGACCCTTGGTAATGTTGAGAGGTCAAAGGGGAAGACGTAGAACTTCAAAAGATTGTCATGTGGAAGTACCACAAATACCTCATGTAAAGGTGAATTTGAATATGGAGATAGGTATCATGGAGATTTATCAATGATGCCCATGCATGTTGTAGAACTGACTGCATGATTGTTTGAAACATCTCTATCTTGAAACACTGAGGGTGAATGAATTTGTTGTTGCAAATAGATGAATTTGACACTATTTGCCTGAATCTTTCTTCAGGGTCTGGAAGAAAGTAGATTGGAAGTCAATGTCTGGAGTGTCCAAAGAGAATAATGACATTGTTTCTGTAGGAATGGGAAGGTCCTATTCCAAGGACTTGATGTTTGTTGTTCAGGATTGGAGTTGGACAGGGCTACAAGGGTTAGGTAGGAGGTGCCTCAGACCTTGAGGCAGTGGACCTAATTGCCACAACAGCCATCCATGCAGCGTTATCACTGATTGTGACTGAAATGTTTCGGTAGAGCACAAACAGGTTCAGAGGCAAGGTCGGTGAAGAGCCATTAAGGTCATTGACACCAACTTCCAAAGCAGGAGGCATATGTCTTACTGCAGAACTGAGTATATCCACATTGGATACAGTTGATTTTGAAGCATCTGGTGAAATGAGGGGTTGATTAAAGTTCCCATGAGTCTGAGGTCAAAAAGTGTGTGCAGGGTCCCGCATAAAATGGCAATTTAAAACTATAGGTCGTGGGGGGAGGGGTGCATGTCTGATGTGTAAGACTCCTGTCCCGAGGAGCTCTGTGAATTGATCAGCAAACATATATCTTTCCCAAGGAGTGGAAGGCTATATGTAGGCAGGACTTGACATAAACAAAACTCATGTTATTTCAACACGTCTAGGCAGATGGAACCTGAATTATTAGTTGTCAAAAGTGAGATGTGGGTGATCTGTTCAAAGAAGACCCCACATTCTTCATCTAGATATGGTGGACTAAGCCAGTAGTCGGAGATAGTCGTATGAGATACAGAAAATTTTGGCCTTGGCCAATTATTCTATGCTCTCAGCGCTGGTTTCCTGGAGTAGGAGATGTGAAGACTGAAGACTTGGTCTGTTGTGAGGCTATACAACTTTTAGTGGAATGATGTTCAGTAATGTTGACAAGGCCAGCAGCAGATGGCAAGTTGAAAGCCTGCATCACACTCTAGTGAAGCGAACAGACTATATCTTGGAGGACAATTGTTGTCAACATCTAATGAATAGAGGGGAGAAGCTGATTGTTCAGCTCGATGTAACCAAGTATTTCCTTTGAATCTGGTATGGGCCCGCCTACAGAATTTCTTTATCATCAGGAGGCATATTAACTTCACAGCCGAAGCCGACCACCTCATCAAGCATGTCGGACCATGCAACTATGCCGCAGCTGCTGGACTTTGTCTAATGGGCACAGCTATATGTATGCCAGCCTGGTCAGTCAGGTTGGGGAATCGTGCAGGGATGGCAGTGTGTAGCACTGTTGCATCAAAAGTTGAGGTTCTGGTTGGGAGACAAGTGAAATCATTCAGTGGGAAGTAGGGTGTTCGAGTAAGATAGCCCAAACGCATAAAAATGACTGGAATATACCTTCCATTATTATAAGTTCTCACTTGAAATAGCCTAGCGACAGCTTACCACGATGAGACACAGCTGTAGCCTTAATGTCACTAACTTCCAAAGAGCAAGATGGAAGTGCTGAGAAAGTAGTTGGAAGCAGAGGTCTAGAGCCTCTGTGGGCAAGTTCGGCGGGATCTCTACCGACTTAAATTTGTTAAAGTCTTTGTGGGCGGAGGAAGGGGATGATTGCTTGGGCAATACAAGCCAACATGACCCCTGATTTCCACTAATGGGAAAGTGGTTATTGTTTGGAAAATCAGCTGAGATGTGACTGTGGATCAAGGATTACTACTATGTGGAGAACATGTCCTCGTGACTGGAGTGCAAGACTAATCTGCTACAATGGTTTGATCTACTTGGTGGTCACCAAGTTTGTGGTGAACATACGAAGATGACTCCTGTGTCCACATCCCTCATTTCAATCAAATTTGTGACTGTTCTGTTGTCTCTCTGTGATTTCCATCAAACCTGCCGTATTTACAAATTCGTCCCTGTCCTACTCTAAATGAGTTTGATGATACTTTTTTCTTACTTTGATGCTTAGATTACCTCAAAGTTTAGACCAAGTCGTCATAGGTCAATATCATATTGCATTTCTTAATTGCAGTCATTATAATTTTGACTGAGAATGTTTTCAAAGAGTAAAGAATTTGTGCACATCTTAACGTAAGCCAAAGTTTACTTTAGAAATTCTATCCATATTGATATCTGTTTAAGATTCTGTTATTTCCCCATATAAACATTTCTTTTGCAATACGTTCCATGATTTGTCCAAACACTGACTTCATGCTCCCTGAACGCTGTTGAATGAATTGAAATTGCTGTATGAGCTTCCGTTGATTTGAGTTTACCGTTATCAAGTAAAAGACTTCTGGCGACTAGTCTAAATTAAGTAAAACTTAATTCAGAAAGAATTGACCCCCAGGAATACTTGAATAATATTATTTCCCTTATGTTTTCATGATAGATTACTTCTGGCGTACATTGAACAATCATATTCTCTTGACCAAAGTGAAGAAAGGGATATTTCCTCCAGTGCAAATTAAGTCTGTGAATTTGCAACATTTGTCTTTGTTTGATTACTTGATACATTTCAATCATATGACTTGATTCATTTTTTATTTTTTTTTTAAATTTATTTTTTTACCGTAGTTGCATATATTCAGTAGTTAGCATTTCTTTATTTCTTTTCTTATATCCGAATGTTTATTCTTTTGATTTCTGCACTCCTTTTGCTTGAAATCAATTTGATTGCTAGGGACTTTGACATTTTAATGTTTAATCTTGATTAACTTTTACTTCCTGATTATAAGTCATTCAAATTCCCCGAACTACTTCCAAAGTTTGACCACAACAGTTGTAATCTTGTCGTTCCTTGGTAAAGTGTCCTCATGGCACCTTAGTCATTTCTGTGTAGACCAACCTACCCACACACACAAGTGTGTAAATGCCTTCAATCTTGGACTCCCTATTGTTCCTCTTTTGTTCATATTTTAACTTTTTCGGAAGACCTCCCATATGTTTTTTACATGTTTTCCAACCGTGGACTCTTCGGCAACCGTGGACCCTATTGTCCCCTATTGTTATAGGTCCACGATTGAAGGCGTTTACACACTCACCCACAAATACCCAGGTGGACGAGGGCATTGACCAGCACTGGTAACCCTGACAACTCTACACACAGTGTGCGTCGTGTTTTAAAGGGACTGTCACTTTTGATAGTCCACTTACTTAGCATATACATAGTATATTTAGTATTTCATTTGGCTACTGGACTGGACTGAATATAGACTTTTCTGTTGTATCTGTTATTTCTCCTTCAATCGAACCTGCCATACTTACAAATTCGTCCCTGTCCTGCTCTAGGCAAACACATCACCAGAATAAGCCTATTGAGCTACCCATGCATATATTGCTCAGGACAGTGGGTGGCCTGGACCAAAGCCACATGAATTTCATTCCAAAACCTGACTTAGTCGAGGGGAAGGAGAGACTGTGCATTTGAAATTACCCCGGCCTGAACATCATCTGCACTTAGCCAAACACATCTTCGTCATCCATTCACAAGCTCTTTTTACTGCAAGCCTTTCTACTGCAAACTCTACAGCTACTTGCCAAGTCAAGACAAACCAAGTCGTCTCCAACTTCAATGCACAGATCGTCTTCAAGCTAGGCCCTTTATTTATCTTCTTTGTTCATTGTTAATTATTTTCTGTTAGGACGATCATGGTGGAAAAGGACACGTTGCATTGTGGCAGAGGAGGGTGCACTGCAGTTGATCAAGTTTTAGCGAATGGCTGACTGGCATTAGGAAAAGAACGCACAAGTTGGTGATTCAGGTAAGGTCAACACAGTAGACTTTGTGACACATTTACAAAAAGGGAAACTGAGGCTCTCACCATTCTTATCTGGCCATGGATTTTCCTTTAACTTTTGATCATTGATGTGCCCCACGCTGCATTCCACATATATATGTACAGACTATCAACACTTTGCTGCGAGGTGGCACCCTTTGCAATGCTACCTTTCTGAGCACTTTAAATACGATTATCTTAAATGGTCCCTTAGTTTTGATTATCTTCACGTTCATGAGTGTGATAAGCTGCTAGTTATGCAGACATCCAAGAGATGACTTGCTAGTTATTTACTGTGCACGTTGTTGACAGTTGACAGTGAGTTATTCTTTAATTCCTCCGTTCACTCTATCCTCAACTATAAAGAAATTGTTCCAGTGACCCTTAGATGGTTAATAGTACCCTCAGATAGATAACAGATGGTACCCTTGGATAGTAAAAACAGGCAGTACAGTCAGACAGTATGCAGTGTTAAAATTTCTCTCTTGTGCAAAAATTTCTCAGACTGTCGGGGAGTAAACTGGTCTCCATGGAGAGTGACAATTTCACTCAGCTGAAATGAGATCATGGAGATTTTCCCTTTTCGTAACAGGAGAATAAAGAAATGTACTCATGTAGGTGAAACAAGTGTGTGCATGAATGCTACCTACTTTGTGTGGACATTCCTTACTTTGCATGTCGTTAAGAAATTCAGTGAAACCAATCCTTTTTCTTCATCTGTGTTTGAGCACATTTTGTGCAAAAGTTTTTATGACATCATTGACTGATTCTCTTTGTTCTGTGACAAATAACTCTAAGGTAGAAATATCTCTAAATTTGTTTTCCAGAAAAGCCATTACATTGTTTGAACCTAGCTTTTAGTCCACACAAGGTTCATGGCATTGTGGCAAGGTTCACCTGCATTGTGTGGGCCTCGTTTGTTCACAGGTACATACTGCATATATAGGTATGAAAGGGTTGTACACAAATAAATGGTCTATCTGCAGAACGCTTATGGTTTCACGTGTCAGTGTGACTCACCTCAAGGAATAATCATTTTCAAGTGTAACACCTACATCTCCTGCAAAAAAAGGAAATAAACCCAAATGCAATGAAATCATTAGAATTAAGACTGAGTATATAACGAAAATAGGAATTTGCAAAAAAAAGTTACTGACATTGCTATGGCAATGAGGCATGGTCTGCTTCAATGGCTAATAATGGAATTGGTTAAGACCTAGGGAGTGTACATTTATGTTTTTGAAAAAAAGACTAGAACAATGGTTAGATGAGGAGCATTTTATGTTTTCAAAGGAGAAAAATTTTAGGAGTTAAAGAAAGAAATTCTGCATTTTCCCCATGGCAATGGCTTGTAAACTGAATGCTAAATAAATGCAAGCTTGCATTGACTAGTGCACAGCGTGCTTGTCATGCAGCGAGCTTTCAGCCAGCTGGTGTGGCTTGTAAGCTAGCAAATGCTTGACCTCGCATGAGAGCTTGCAAATAAGCTCATGTGCAAGCCTGCAAGTTTCCTTACAGGCATACTTGCAATAAATTTCGCAATCACTGAAGTACAAGTACATGTACGCGCACATAAGAACAACATATTGGACTCATTTTAAAATAAATCCTTTTAATAACAGCTATAGATTCACCTAAGAAGATGCCAGTCATGCAGGGCCATCACACTCACATATGGGTTTAAAAAAAGGTGCACGTACATATGAAGTTCGACAAGTCACACTGGCACCCTATTGGTTGGGGGGAAATGTAAAGCACGCATACCACCTGCATGCAAAAAGAATGGCCCTGATGCTTCTCATTATGGTCGTCAGATTAGTCCATAGGCAATGTGAAGAAAGATTTAGTACATTTACCCTCGAAAATTTTAACTATTTTGTGCAGTATGCCTAAGCTGTCTTGGACAAACTGTTAGATTAATAAATCTCCTTGATGCTTATAAAAGCTGCATTGAATCCATTAGCTATATAGGTTTAGTCTTCAATCCGTTGCAAATCAATGGGGATGCACTGAAATACGTATAGATATCTATGTGCCACACTTTCCTAAAGCACAAATGAAATGCCAACTGCCGATTTGTCACATGAAAGGAAAAAAGGGGGGTGGGTTAAATAAAAAAATTTTCTGTGTACATAAGAGATTTGAAAGAAATTCTATCTGAGTAAAAAACAACAGGATATTTTTAATAAAAAGAGTAGCTGGCTGCAAATGACCGACAACCAAACCAAACCCAACCAACATGACCAAACCAAACCAAACCACATCCCTGCACTGCACGGCACAGCACCACACCACAACACAATACAAGTGTTTACTTTTCATGAGATCAGAAACAAAACCATGGAAACACAAGCAACAACACATGTTTCAAATTTTTCAAGCACATTCATAAATACAGTCAGCTATACATAAAAACAATAAGTTTGGCAACTTACTAGAAATGACAATCCAATACGGAGCTCGGATAGGTGGGAGAAGCATCATCCAGAAAGACATGGCAAAACCACTATTCTGGCACTTGGCAAGGTTAGACAGACACATGTTTCCTATGTACAGAAAGAACCAGACAGAATTGGTAATCAGATGTAGCATTACACTTGTGTTAAACCGCTACCAAATGCAACATACAAATAGAATGTATATCAGTGGACAGACTTGGGTACTATTAAGACTCTTCCACAGAGGTGGCAGCAAGTCATTTTTGCAAGTCCAAGTCAAGTCATAAGTTATTAGGTCCAGTCACAAGTCAAGTCATAAGAAATTTGATCACAGGTCAAGTCAAGTCACTAGTCTCTTTGTCCTTGTACAAGTCAAGCTGCACATAATTTTGTCCAGGTGTAATCGGCAAAAAGAACCATGCATCAATTTACAAAGTGACAAGTTATAAAATACTTACGGCCGGTCGAGTAGTGTCTGATTTTTTGCAAGTCCAAGTCAAGTCACAAGTCAAAGCTGGTATTTACAAGTCAAGTCACAAGTCACAAAAATAGCCACTTGAGTCCGACTTGAGTCCAAGTCACATGACTCGAGTCAGCAACTCTGCTATTCCATTGACAGCCAGATTATGTACCTTAATTCAACTAGGTCTGCAAGTTAGACTATCTGCCCGACCGGTTTTCTCTGTCAGGTTCACTTTCAGAGTATTTTTTGTGGTCATGACTCTATTTTAAGGAATTTTTATTTTCAAAAGGTTTATTAGATCCTTTTCCACAAGCCGAAGCAAATTTTGCAGTTCAGCCAAAATATCGAATGCACTTGCACTATTCACTGCATGATTAAGAATACAGGTTGGGAGTTTGGAAAAGTTATTCATCAGGAGGACAATATCGAAATCAAACCGTCTTTATCTGGGATCTTCAAGCCTGCTAATAACTTCACAATACTGCAATTTAGTTTCAGTGCTTGGGTGTCCGATGTGACCAACGACCCTTATTCCTCCCAAATGTGAATCCCAGATTGGGGTGGGGGGGGGCAGTATTCCACTTAAATTGCATCTCTGACGAGAAGCTTATAATGTTGGGATTGTATCAAAATACTTCAACCAACATACATTTTTGTTTGATGTTCTGACAGCAAAAACCTGAAGACATTATGAGGTGGCAACAAATCAGGATGAACCCAAGTATCAGAGACTAGAATACCTTCTACATCTGTGCTTTCGACCATAAAAATTGTGAGAAAAGCTAATCCAAGAATAACAGTTGAAAGCCTTGTACCACACCCATGTGCATATCTTAGCAAACATTAAATGCCTCCTTGGCTAGTAGAGTAGTTTTGACTTACCATAATTCTAGCATACCTTTTAAGTAATTTGAACTTTTGTTTGCAACCTACGATTTTCTTTAAACAATTTTCTTTAAGAGTAAAAACCCCAACAAAACAGACAACAAAGAAAAATTGCAAACTCCTCGACATTCTTAAGATCCATCACCAAAGCTGATCAAATTCCATTAAAAGACTGCTTAGACTGTCTGTCATCTAAGGAAGTCAATAACCCAATGACATACCATCTAAATTCAAGAATTGCATCTGAAAGTCATTTATGAATAAACCACCACCCTTGCTGGTTTGTTGAAACTTGACAACACTTGGAACTGTGCCCATCAACTGGAATGAAGCAACATCAAAGGTCTGTACATTCAAGAAAATTGAGGAACAGAAGGTCCAATTAAAGAATATACGAAGCCTTTTAGTGCAAATACCTGGCATGTCAGCATAAAACAGGGTCCATTTTATGGAACTGTGAAGCAGAAATATGGCTAGTTAGTACCTAGTAGTACTTAGTTCGTCAGATTGGGTCTAATGAATAATGGGTCCAACAAAGATGAATGTGTTTGCCAACTGAAAAAATACAATGAGAAACAATTACTATAGGTTTTCTATTTCAGATATTGAAACAAAGAATACTTCATCACTACTTTTTGTCAAAAAGGCCAAATATTATAAACAATCAAAATGCATCAGCTTCAGTCCATAACTTATAAGCCTTCTGTCATTTGTGTCCCAATGAAAATTCTTCCATTGTAAACTGTGGAAGAAGTCAAACTTGCCAGTCTGTCCCCGGTTGCATCTGGGTAACTCAACATGTCCATTGGGAAATAGAGAAGGGCATCATAGTAGGCGCTTAAAACTGCAACGTAATTGAATAATAAGCTGAAAAATTAAGAAGAATTCTGTATCCGACCATTACAAAAGGATTGCATACTGACGATATCACACTTTATATATGCTTTGGGAAATGGTGGGGATGATAGATATTAAGCTTCTGGTTAACAAGGTGTAGTGTCCTCTATACACGCATGTAGGCCTATCCTCAATTATCATTTAACACCAGTGAGTTGAAGAGTTACATGTTCATTTTAGGGTTACTCTTAACAAGGAAAATGGCTTGATACCCGGCGTCAAGGGGCTTAAAAAGTAGGGCTCATCCTGTTGATGCTTATCAGACTCAATAATTGTGGTGGTCTGACATTAAAACTGTCGGCATTTAAACAGCTCCATCTCATTAAGTCTACTGGCCATGTATGCTAAGAGGCATGCATTATTGTTTACGTATCTGTTAACTGGAAAATGTCAGGAAAAGACGGTGTGACCATCCCCCAATGGGCCAGCAAATACTGTCACTTTCAAACATAAAATGTTAAGGGACAGTATTTGTAATTATTCTGGTTTTAAAACAGGGTACTCTTGGCTTGATATTTTTATTTCATCTTATTTGCTTTTGTCAATCCAGAGATATGCCTACTAACCAAATGCAGCCAAAACTGAAGTTGCGCCACTTTCAAGTCTGATCCCGAGACCTCACTGAAATAACACAATGTGCATTTCACCTTTACAATTTCATCTCCAGGGGGTGACAGTGCCACACACTTTAATACATGCAAAAGAGTAACTTTTTTTGGTGGAGAAAAATGGTTACTTAGGTATCTACTAAGGATAAGACACACGTCTCTGGGATTGACAATATAAAATGAACCCATTAAAAACATGCTCTCTGAAACAGTGTGTTAGGTATAAATGTTACTATTTGATGTTTTATGTTTAAAACAGAGGGTACTTGTTGGCACAATTTTAGAGACACTATGTGTATGTACTTTATACTCTGCAAGTATAGACCACTCTCATTTTGTGTAAGACCTGTATGGGTCACCATTAGGTCGATTTTCAATTTCACCTCAAATTCGTTCAAATTGACATTTGCCCCTTTAATTTTTGTATAGGATTGTACTTTTGTTTAGTACTTAGGAGTATGTGTACTGTACGTTATCTGGTGTCCTGAAAGCTGCATGGGATTTTTAACAATTTTGGAATTATTCTTTTTACTTTTGTACCAAATGGCAAATTCTAGTTGATACAGATACTTGAAGGAAAAACACGACTTTGACATCAAAAAGAGCAGACCCTTTTCAACTGCTCATAAAAACTACAAAAAGTTTAGCAATAACTGGACAATAACTGGAACCTTTAGGAATCAATCCAAATGAGAGAATTGATTTCACCACTTTCACCTCTCCCTATGCATTCTGCTGCATCAAAAGTATAGTGCACTCTCCTGCCTTGCATTACGTGCTTCTTGTTACAAGACAAACATTGATAGTGATTAACGCTTTCTTTATAAACCAATTTCAAGTTTGCTCCTGGATAATAAATGGAGCAAATGTAATTTCTGCGCGACAACCATTGGTACAAAGAGTTCCTCAGTTTGACTCCAATGTACATTAATCAGCCTCCACATATGATGAAGATCCAGGCAAATGATAAGTCTTCTACTGCAGCAGTTCTGTTCTTATTAGTTTACCTTTCTTTGCGCTACAGACGGCTGCATTGGCCTCAATGTACATGTAAGTATCATTGGAAGTGACAAGAGTCCATAGGTTGCTTTCACGTTGGAGGAGCACAGGTGCTGGTAACAGGGGATTTGAATCCAAACCAATCACAGAAATACCAGACCTGCCAAAGCAAAAAAAATTCATGAGAATTAAAATACATATTAACTTTGGCTATTGTGTATTCATATTCCTCAGACAGATTTCCTACTCAACAATGTACAACTTGACCGTGAATTAACATTTGATAGTGTCCACTGAGACGTGATATTGCCCGCTGCGTAAAAAACATTCTAAGCACTCTAAGCACCTGGATGCAAGAGTTTACTCCATCCCTATAGGTCAAGAGTCTGCGTGCGATGCAGCATGCAGAATGCGCCACGCATCCAGCAAGTCCATACATGGAGATTCTTCTGGACAATTTACACAACGAATACACCATGAAATGGACGGGGGTGTTCGGGAAAATAAAAGTTAAATTCTAGACCAAAATCACTAGATATCTATCTTATATTGACTTCTTTTGACTCAAGACAATATTTATGAATAGGAATAAATATTATGTGCTTGGCCGGTCGTAACCTAACATTTAAGACCAGCTCGGGAGAATAAACACTGATAATGCCCAAACCCCACGTCTGTCACATCCAGTCTCCTAAGCTGGTCTTCAATGTACATTTCAGACACATATTTATTCCCTTATTATTACTCATAACAGGCTTGTTATCAGATGCAGTGGAATAATATACATGCATCATCAGTGATGAAGCTTTCTGTAACAAGAAATTTGGAAGTTGACCAAAAAAGTTTGATTTAGAATTAGGATTGAGGGGGCATATCCATGTGAAAAGGGAAAATGGACTCAAATTTTTTTCACTGACTTTTTAAATTTAGTCAAGAGTAATTGACCACAGCTATGGAAAAAAGTCCATGACTAATCTTTGCTGGCTTTTTAACTTGAAAATTCACCTATTAAAACATTATGTCAGCAATTATTTGGTTTTGACACATCAAAAAAGATATTACACATTCCTCATTCCAACAATCCCATTTCAATTTGTATGCTGAGTTGAAATTTGGATATAGTTTCATGAGAGCATTTTCTCATTACATTTTATGACAAATAGTCCCTTTCTATTCTAGTTTTTCAGGACAGACCCTTTGAATCAAGTGGTGGTGATGATGTAGCACAAGTTACATATTACACAAAAAGTTAACTGTATACCAAATTCCCAGGGGTATTGAGTTTGTCAATCATAAACCTCCTCCTTCAGTGTGCAACAAACCAAATTAGAACAACACCAACCCTAGGTTATCTGCCTAGGATAATATATCTGGCACTGAAAGTTGCTAACGCGAGTCAAATGTAACGCGAGTCACCGCATTTTAGGGTAACATGAGTCACAATTTAAACTACAGTAGTTGCACTGCTTGTTATCTTTTCATCAGTGCAATTGTTTTCTAAAGTTTATTGGCATCTTAAATAGGGGGCAGCAGATAATATTGTCATAATTCCATGCACCGGGTCCCGTTAGTTTTGCAACATTCCTCATTTACATGTCCATATGTACATGTGGGCAGAAAAACAAAAGATTTGCATCTGTCATCATCTATCTGAAATAAAGGTAATGTAAAATGTAACCTTCTCACAAAATCATACCAATAGGGGTGAAAAGTGAAATACAAGTAAAACTTTGCTCAAAGTGAAAGTAAATAATGAGGGGAAAAAGAGTCACAAATTGCTCCCATCGTAGAATTTGGTCAAATGAAATGCATGCAATTCTGTGAAGCATGGCCTCCACAGTTATTGCAATACATGTAATTTGCCAGATTACACAATGTAGCATATATCGGTAAATTTTTCTCCTATTTTAGCCTCATTTTTCTCTTCCTGGATTTCAAGTGTCATACATGTACATGTACTAGGCCTAAAGCTTGTATAGTTGACAATATTACTTACTAGCACTTGGCACATACGTGTACATGTACCTGTATTGCTGAATGGCGTTGTAGTAAAATGGTTATGGAGCATTTTTTTTCACAAACCGCACATAAAGTGATTTAAGAGCTGACTGTTTTCCACAACCCAGCAGAAGTGCCTGCAAGGTCACCTTTGATAATTTGTATCCCACAACATTATACATGTTTACTAGTGCCAAATAATCCAAAGAATCAATGTGACAGTGACGGCGCATTAAATGTTCAAATTTGTATGTACTTCATATAAAATTACAAGGACACACGCGTTTGCACTAAATATTTTAATAATTAGCAAGGTATTATTAATTGCCTTTCATTTTGGTAAAAATTACCCATAAAAAATGTCAAAAAAATTTACTAGAACTGTTTCTTTCATTTCAGATATTGCCAAATGGCTCTCACAGCAGCAGAGAGACAGCAAAAAAGACATGAAAAGCTTTGTGCTACCGAGAAGTACATGTACATTGACTACCGTAAGCAACAGAATGAGATGAGCGGAAAAAGTTGTGAGCTGAGGAAGGCAAAGGAACAAACCTAACAAAAGCTAAACAGAACAGGCTGAAAAATTCACGGTCAACCATCGTGGCCATTACAACTTCTTGTTAGGAAGTGTGCTTGATCAACCATACGTGGTAATGTGGCATTCATTCAAAATGACATATACCAGTACATGTACAGTGTATGTTGGTTTTTTGGGGGCACCACATGTCAATTCTTCAAAGTAATTCTTTTATTGTTCATGATATGAATATGTTATAATTGTTAACTTGGCAACTATTTGTCTTCTCAACTGCAAACCTGAAAGCACTGTTGCACTGGTAACTACATGCATACACAAACAATCAAGCTAATGCGTGCATAATCTAGGGTAATCTTGAGGTGACATGAGTCACGGTAAAGTAAGTCACATCGATTATTTATGTTTTTCTCTTAAAATGGTTGGGAAATGCATCTCCTTTTAGGTGATATAGAGTTTGAGTTTCTGATAACTATTCATTGTTTTCTCCAATTCATAGTTTGAGGAGAAATTTGATTTAAACCTAAGCCGATTTTACTGCTTTCCTTTTTGAGTAATGCAAGTCACGCTATAATTACAATGCAATAAAAGCGTTGTTATCTGTTGAAATCATTTTTTGTTTGTGTATTTTATACCAAGTGTCAGTAAGTACCTACACAAAGTAAGTGGAATTTTTAACTGCTACATTTCAGTATGTATGTGGTTATAAAAGTTTCAAAATGAACTAAAATGTAATGCGAGTCACCGTGGAAATGCCCGAAGGATGTTTGATAAAAAAGAAATGAACTTGTTAAATAAAATCAGAGAAATTCACACAATTTACAGCTTATTTTGAATTTCTGACACAAAACACATTCTTTGCCTGCATTAAAATTTAGTACACCGTTGGCTCAAATGATTATCAGAATCCATTTTCTTGATCTAGTCTTAAGATGTTTAAGACTGGCTAAACACATGTTTTAGTCCCTGAATAATTGGGAGGATAGTGCACTTGCCTTAACAATACTGCACTTGTCTTCAACTTTTGCAGTATTGTTAGAGTTTGCACAATACCTCCTTTCATCCTCCTCAAAACTGTCAATTTTACATAACATTTAGGGTTAATTTCAACAAATAACGCTGACAGTTAAGGGGATTTTTATACAATGCTCAAGCAAGCAACACAGAAACTTGCAGTTGCGAACCACTTTAATTTTTAAAGGCAGAACAGCTCATACAATGTTGCGTCCAGGAAAGGCACCCTTCAACTAGCAATTCAGGGCATATATAAAGTCCTTGTAGCTAAAGACAAACAATTCAGACTTTTAAAGGTTTTTAAAGTGGCTGACTCAGAACACTAGTGTGAATTTTTAGAGGTCACAGGTTTAAATCCCCCAGTCAATTCATTTAAGATTTAAGTATTTCTTTCTTTCTATGACTTCTTTTAGGCAAACACTGTCAGAAAAATGCACCAGAAAAACTTTCTCCGGAAAAGAAAACTGGCCTTAAGCTTCTGAAATTATCACAAATACATGTAAATTAATTTGCAGTGAACTGAAAGACTAAAATGCACTCGAGAACCATACATTACAACATACATGAAACAACAATGCTGGTAACTGCATTAATGAGGGCCTGTAATTAGAGCATAATGATCATTTTAATGTCTGAAAGGAGCTTTTATGTAATTTAATTTATGTTACATTTTAAAAATTGTTTACTGATATTTCAGATCAATGGTCATTCTTAGGCCTAACAAAAATTGTTCGTTTTTGGATACTGTTCCCTACATGTAATTTGCAATTGGTTCATATTTGAACACTGGAAAGAGGGAATACTCCTGTGGGCTAAATCCGACAGACACTTGTATTAATATTTAGAGATGAAAAAATAACATGAAACCACAATTACTCTCCTTGCTACCCTTTTATTGCTTGAATGAATGTTAAAGGAAACATGGCTTTTTGGGAGGAGGGGTTCATAACTTACAGGGCACTGCTGTTGAAGACTTTCTTGTTCACCCACGAAAAGTTCTCGGAGGTAAGCTGCAGGCCTGTCCACACTTTGATGTCATTTGGCAGTTGAGTAGCAATATCACGTGTTCCCGTCATGTTGTAATCAAAGTGTCTACAGGTGAAAAGATGACAAATGCAAAACACCTCACACAGGTGGCTTTCACTGTGACATGCGGTATTCATTTGATAAATCTGCATGATACTTTAATATTTTCATGAATCTACATTTACATGCTACCGGCCTGCACTGCAGGATTTGACTCTACAACATGAGTGTTGCTCAGATTTCTTTTTTTTTTTGGGGGGGGACCTAATTCCAGGAGGAAAAACTTTTCGAGGGGCTTAAATACTCCTCAGCTTTTAATTGTCAAACCAACAGTGAGAAGGGGTCATATTGAAGTTTTCTGATCAAATTGGTGATTTTCATCCCTTTTGATCTCTGTGATTTCATTTCTTTGGCTGTTTTCCCTTTTTTTATTTTCCAGTTTAATTGCGGGGGGGGGCTCCCTTGCCATGCCCATGTCATACAGACAAGCATCAGCATCGCTGTCAGATATCAAAGTCATCAAATGAAATTGTATTGTCATTTTGACCAGTACTCTGTGAATGACTATATTGGTGATTTGGAGGAACACACAAGTAAATCTGCAGAAATTTGCATAACCCTCTAAAATCATAGATGTTAGTGAACATGCACTGGAAAACAATAAGCAAAAGAAAACGCATGCTGCTCTCTGTGAAAATGACCTACGTGTACATTTCAAGATCTGCCTAACTTTTTGTGAGGATGGGTTATTTGGTTTAAAGTGTGACTGAATGCAGATTTTTGGGAAGTAACCATTTCTAACCTGATTGTGGACTGTATGAAATCCAATTCATCTGTGCTCTGCCATGACACCAGGTCCATTCCAATACGGAAACACGTTGCTCTGGCCTCAGTAAAGTTGAGACCCATCTCTTCCCCAACGGCTGCCTGCACTGAGTAGCAGGTGTCAATGTAACGCTTGGAGTAGTAAGGACATCCCGTTTCTATAAGATAATGGACAGGATAAGGTTGGTAAAATGCACGTCAGTTAATGCTTTACAACCGACGCCAAATTAAGTTTGTATTGAAGCTAGCTAGTTTGGTTTATATGACCAAAAAAGACTAGACAATATAACAAGGAGAGAAGGGACAAGGCCAAATTAACCTGATTATTAAATTACTGATCATGCCACATCAATTATTTCTGAACTCTGTGTGAAACATGCTGACATTTGGAGAATTATCAGGACTGACAAGAATACCCAATGTAGCACTAATGATAAACTGTCGGCTATGGTGTGGGGTGGGGGAACCATCTACTGTATGTCTGTTCATTCCGTAGCCACTCCTCACAAGCATTCATTATCCATCAGATATTGCAGTGTGACTTTTGTTATAATGCTGCACTGCCATGCTATCCATCCCAAGATGTGCAGTGGCATGGCAGGTATTTCATCTCCATGTGCTCCAAAACAACCCAAAGGGCGGGTACTTCTTGTGTTTTCTTCTTCTTTCATCTTTCTTGTTTTACGCATAAGCCCCCCCAAATTATTCTAACATTATCATATTTCCCAAAAAAGAGTCCCCTCGATACACCTGTTGGAGGAGATGTTCCAGCTTTTAAATTGGTGATTGATGAGAGGAAATGAGCTGTTTTAATTGTTTCATTTTTATCAAAATATTATATATTGTCTTTATTTTTACAAATTGTGTAAACAGCAAATGCAAACTTTACAATAGTATTATTCACATCTTCCTTTCAGTGAGCAAAACTTAATTAACTCAATTAATAATAACAATGATAATAAATACCTAAAGACGCATCTTAAAGCACTGTAAAATTACAATTACAAAATTTTACAAATTAAGTAACAGCATTAAAAGTAAAAAACAAGAGACTTAAAAGCTTAAGAAATGATTGAAACCACATATTAAGAGAAGAGCTGTTTAAAAAGATGAGTTTTCAGGCAAGTTTTAAAAATTTCAAGAGAGTCTGCAGATCCATTGGTAACCAAATGTATTATTTATTTTTGGTGAAGCAACCTGAACTGTAGGCTCACACGCCTCATTAAACCACGGAAAGAAGACAACGTGACAACAGTAATTGTTTTTCACAAATGTTGATCTGGGAATAGCTTCAGCCTAGTGGAGATTCCACTGGAGTATATCCTTCCCCTCTCAAGCCCTAGTGCGGTCAGACTAACTCATTCTGTTCCTCGTTTCATCAAGGGATAGAGAACAAAATTTATGACTTATTTCAAAAATGATCCATAAACAAACTCAATGGGATTATCAGCACTAGACCTCCAGAGAGATTAAATGACAATAAAGTATGATTTCCTACCAAGAAGCCTTGCAAGGAAATTAAATAACTATTAATTATGACCTTGTTTTAGGACGCTGTCTTTGAGAAGCCCCCTTAATTTGATTCCATCATGTATACAATTTTTTGTGATATCTGTTCATCCTCATCATTATATCCTAAGAAGCATACTGCAACAGAAATCTGATTCCAGACAATAACACTTTACAATTTAAATGTAATATTTCTTTACCTTATCGTTTCTGTTTAAAACCCATATTCAACATGGCAGATAATTGCTAAATAAAGATTAATAATTAAGGAATGACCTATACAGAACATCTCCCCTCAACAGAATAAAAATATCATTTAGGTGTGCATAATGATAAAAACGACAGGCTGAATGAATGTAAATGCAGCACTGTAGTGATGAATGCCGACACCTTGCAACATAATGCCTAATTATCCATACAAATGGAGACATGAAAGTTTATGAGTGCAATGGTAAGAATGACTTCATTTCTGACTGAATGTTCTCCTCTATAAGGCAAAGCTGAGTGGAACTTGACATCCTATTTGGAAAAAAGGGCGATGTGCATGTATACAAATATACTAATTTGTAAACAAAATTACACCAATATACAAATTCCTCCAGTTCTTTGATGGTATTTGAGTTTTTCTTTGACTTTTAGTGCGAGAACATCCTGCACGATTTCAGAAATTTCTTTAGTAGATGGGGGTTGATGGAGGTGGTGGTAGGGTTAGATTTCTCATAATCTCCTCATAGGATGCTGGGTAAGATACAGTGAGTACGACAGTGAGGCCACACGTATTGCACAAGCATCCCCTTAGTTTCTAAGAACAACCCCAAATGAATGTTTGGCTCTGTAATAACAAAAGACTGAAGTGCACACGGAATAGATGAGTGACTTCAGTGCAGACCCTACAGGGTTCAAGTCTGCCAGCTAATGCAATGGATTAACTAGCCAACATCAGTCATCTTCCATTACTGAATGTAGTCTCACAAAGTCATAGATACAAAACATCCATCTCTCTAATGTTCATGCATTTTTCACATTTTTACATTGGCTTCGATCTTGTGAAGCAGTCGACACTATTTAAAAATGACAAATGATGCAGTAACAAAAGATGACACAGGCAGCCCATCAGGTTGTAAATGGTTTTGCTCAGTTGTGTATTTTCCGAAAGTAATGAATTATAAATGGTACAAATAAAGCAATACAACTGGTCCTATACTGAGAGAAAGGTTTTGACGACACAAGGATCTGTGGAATCATTCGATCTGCTGGCATTTCTTTTAAGATATATGTATCATTCCAAAACCCATAATGATTAAAATTAATTAAAAAGAAAATGGGCCCCAAAAGAATCAAAAATTAGAAAGGTAGTGGATACAAATACAGGGCAGGCATAATGCAACTTCTAAAATGTACAGTAACAACACTGCACATTAAGAAAATGCCCATCCGTATAAGATTATCAAGACTTACAAACATGTACACTTGTCACACACTGGTCTGGTTCTTATTTATAATGGCACAGATTGTTACAATAGATGTACAGCAAGTAGTCTAAGGTGTCATAGCTACATGTGTATACCTACTGCAAAAATATAATTCCAAAAGTCATTATAAACTTTCAATGAGAAGGGTCTCCATGTTTGGATGGATATGAATTTAACTATTGGCAAGGATCAGTACAATGAGAAGTATCCAGAGGGGGTTAGATTTTGTTTTAAATGACTGTGGTAAATATGATACCAAAAGTCATTATAAACTTTCAATGCATCAGTATTATGTCAACTTAACACAAAGAGAGGAGTTTCCATGATGAAAGTGATCTCAGTAGCAAGTTAATTTGGATGTTTATGAATTTAACCATCGGCAAGGATCATTGCAATGAGAAGTATCCAGGTACTGCAAGGGGAGCGGGGGGGGGGAATTGTTTTAAATGACTGTGTTCATTAACAAGAATCCTAACTCCCAAAACAAAGGTGTAAAGTCATTTCATAACCCACATCTGAATCCTGCTGCCTTTCTTGTGGGCCTAAAGCAGGCTTTATTAGTAAGGTGGCCAAAATGTCCCATTTCTGATACAACTGTGGCTGACTGGTATGAAGCATCAAACCTGGCAGGTACATTCTTTTGGTCCTACAAAAGATCTTTAGAAAGGGTGATGATTGAAACTGCTTTTGGGGTATTAAATGTGCACAAAGTTTAAATGACTTTTATGCACACACTGCTTAGTACATGTACATAAAATCCAAAGGCTAGATTAATATGAGGTGAGGGCATATAAGAGATAAATAATATGCTATAAATGGCATCACAACTGCTTTGCCTTTTTAAATCATGAAGTATTTAAGACGGAAATGACGGAGAGGCAATTCTGGAACTAACTTCCACTGCCTTTCTTCCCCAAGCACGTAAAAAGCCTAAAATTGTGGGACTCATCCCTCCGAAAGTCCACAAAAGATAGTACCACATAATGAAATTCCTGATTTTTTGTGCCCCTGTGAAGAAGATATGCTCTCCCCATATTCACCCTTGGATTGACTCAGTAGAAAATGTACTAGGGCTGTAACGAATATTCGAATGATTATTGAATATTCAGATATAATTTTCTGAATTTGAATATTCAAATGCCAAATTCATGAAAACAGAGAACATTCTTTTGTTTCAAATGAGAAAATTGCACTATGGAGGCTGGTTTCAAGTAGATTCTTAAGAAATCTTATGATTCAAAAATTAAATAATTCCTTAAAACATTTAAAAGGAATAAAAAGTTTCAACAAGGCAAGAAGTATCTCATGTCTGTTAAATCTTGTTAAATTGTGGCGGGAGTTACTCCTAGACATGAGAAGCTATTATAGTGATTATAATGTACAAGTGATTACGTTATTGCAACTGATTTTGAATATGGTTTAATCATCAACAATCTACTAGTTGGTAAGATCGAAAATTCGGATATTTGATGCATTGCATTTTTTTTGAGGAATTGATCCTTTAGTTTTTAGAGTAACTTTTCACGGTCATTTTTGACACCAAGTTTGCGAAAATCAAAAATACCATTCTTGTGCAGTGCACATTTTTTCGAGGTGGTTCAGCCCAAAATGATGTACACCTTTTTACCACAACGGTGGTCAATAAAAAAAAGTGGGATGTAGATTTTTAATATGCAGGGGTATGAAATGCATGGTGTTTGAAGAAATCATTTTGATTAACTTGATTTTTCTCAATTTACGACAGCAAGTTCTGCCATAACACTTTCCTTTTAATCAGCCACTGGCAATATTGAGTACCATAATTCTCACATCCAAGGTTGTTACATGTGATATCAAACAATATGAATTCTACAATTTGTAGTTACCCTAATAATCTCATAGTGTACCCACATGCCTACTATTTGGAGACAATATCAAATCAAGTCTACATGCAAATAAAGGGCAAATTAAGTTTACATGCTAAATTGGGTTCATTGAACCAGTTGGTAACAATCCAACCCATTAGCCAATGGCAAAAGTCATTGTTCAATCTTACCTTTATTGATTGCAAAAGGACTTGGCCGGCGACTGGTGCAATAGCAAGTCCAAACAACGGATATCTAGAGAAAGGAAAAGGCAGAAATTTATCATCAGTGGCTGCAGTCAAATAGTCATAAGCTGGCCTAAGATTTAATCAATCTCCAGATATCTGAACAATTGAAATACACTTTGCTCAGTTGGAAAATCGAGGCATCCTTTGACATACGCTTAGGTGTGTCTGAAGCTCTTTGCAGAACTTCCATGTACACGTACCATTACCTCAAACATTGTAACCACTTGATTTCTAATTCCAAGCAATTCCAATTAGAAAATGAAAATAAAGAGAGCTCAGTAAACATTACCACACATTTTGACACGTGATAAGCTGCGAAATGTGTAGGCCCGGCATAGCTGAATTGCTCTGGGTTAACTGGTGTGATGTTTGCTTTTCATCCTCAAAGCAGCTCATCTTGCAAAAAAGCTTGTATACAAGTATATTGAGCAAAACAACCTTGAACATTTTTCTCAGTGCCAAAGTTGGGTTAAATTTCTGAGGGGGTGGCCGATGGCACACAAATAGAAGCTAATAAACTGTGGCTTGCACATAGGGTGTGCCAATTTAATGTGTCAAAATTCCAAATGGGTGGGGGAGGGACTTCTCCTGGAGTGATGTGCTCCCATGGTTAAGTTTTGATTTTCAGAGTAGGTTGTCTTCTGAAGGTCAATGTATATAATAGACCTGTTTAGGCGGCAAAATTCACTGGGTGACATGTCACACAACACATTGTCTGTAAGAAGATATTTTTGAGTATGGATCTGACTTGGTTGTATAAAACAAATTGGGAATGTTACTCAGCCCAAACTCTGCGTACCGGTACCCTCATTGTCTAATAATCCATTACCCTGGAATTGGACATAACTAAACTGTTAAACAAATTAAAGTCCTTCCGCATGCTAACAACTTACCAGTATGATTATCCAAATGCAGTCCATTGCCAATCCACTTTGACTGTGATGAGCATACATTCAGTGCAAGCACGGTTTATACACCAACTATGCAAGGGAATTCCGAACACTTGCGGCAAAGTGCAAATGGTCGCTTACATATCATCCATACCTTATTTCATAAACTGCAGTGCTGCATGCTCACACAACGCAGCCGTGATGGCCCAGAAATGGTTCTGGGAAATCCAGTGTTTGGGAGATTCAGTCGGGCGTAAAGATGCCGTGCTGATGGATCATGAGCCTCAATAATGCATTCGTAGTTTCACATACAGCATAAACCTGTACTACACATTTATATACTATGGGGAGACAATGCCAAAGAGTTGTTATGAATAAATTGAAAATATCCGTTACAGTAATTAATTCTGGTCACATACAAGAGAAAATAAGTGTTTTAGTTGGCATATTTGATATCATTGATCATTAAAAATTCAACCATTAGGAAAAAGCTCATACACAAAGGTTCATTTATTTCTCAAGGTAACAGAACTTGTTCAATTACTGCAACAAGGGTCACTATAATCAATTAATACCAGATCTAAATGAAAAACCTCACAAGAGTAAAGGATTCACAATTTAGCAAACAAATTTGCTAAACAATGTTTTTTTTCTTTGTAGCCTTGTGACAATAGGCCTTTAGCAATGCAGCACTTGTGTTAAAACCAAAACTGCACTTACTGGTAAAGCAAACCCTACCCACGACAAAGCTCAAAAAATTAGTTTACAATATTCCAGCACATTCTGAATGCTCATATGAAAATATAAAATAATGACAAAGTGCAAAATCTGGGGTGTTAAAATTGTTATTGACTTAACAATCTGGGTGTTAACTTCAACCAGTTTTTAAAGTGCATAAAATCCTGGTACACTCAAATCTAATACATTCAACACAAGAACGAGGTTTGAAAAAAGCACTTGTCTTTACAAAGCATGAAAATCATTGAAATTGTATTCCCTTGAACACACCCTTACCACATTGACCACAACTGCAAAGTTTACTGTAACATATCACTCGTCTTGGATTAACTGCATCGAGAAAGAAAAACCTGCTTTTTTAAAAAAAAACCAATGCAATGATGGCTGCTAATTGGACACCAGCTCTAACTGACCTAGGCAACCCAGCATACATGTACATGTATGGTCTGTTCAACTTGACTCGATAGAAAACGTAGAATGTGACACTTACACATAGCATTTCAAGCAAATGGACGAACAGGGGCAAGCCTCAATGTAGATTTCAAGGAGTCAATGGAGATTTCTAGGAGTCAAAACGCAACAATAAAAATCTCTATAAACAGCACATTTCCAACGATTCAGGAAAAACCATTGTTCAGCTAAGCTACATAAACCAGAAAACACACAATAAAGCATGGTGTTCACAGTTCATGGGTATTTATTACGAAAGGGCTGAAAGGAGACAAATTACTACAATGCTCAACAAACATTTAGCTATCATTACTTTTTTTAACAACACATCTCCAACACACAAAATTGAATCCAACCCTATACCGAAGGTGATTTGTTGTCATGACATCCTATTTTTCAAAGGCACTTAATAATTAAATTGTCCACATCACACACAAAGGCACACAAACCGACAGATGAACTCATATATACAAAGGCATCAAAGTTTTTCTTGGCCCAAATTGTCTGAGGATAAAAACTATCATGATTGATTTCTTGGAGATAACATCAGCGGATTGTTACATACATTACACATTAATTTTAATCACGGCCAAACTTTGTCCAGTGTCAACTTACTGGGTTGGGCATGCCCAACTTCATGAGCACAGCTGACTTTGAAAAGTATCAAAAATTACAAGTGAAAGAATCAAATACAAAAATAAATATGAACACAATAATAGAAAATTATACTGATGATGAGATACATGTAAATCCTCAAAACAAGTTATATATTACTATCAGGTGTTCCTTTATAATGCTAACATGACATTTGGGTTGTTCAGAGAAGCTTTCATCAAGGTGGTTATAATAACCACCTCGATTTAATTGATAGATTCTGGGGTTTCTGGGACATTTGGAGGGGGAGAGGAGTTTGGTCAAATTTAACATTAGTCCAATCATGGCTCCATGGTCCAATGAGTAGTGCAGGCTGAGCAGACACTTCAGAAATACTGTGCCTGTTCAAAAACTTTTCATGGGAAAACATTTTCAGTACCGCAAGATAGACTGTTCTACTTCTTTGATTCATATTGTAGTTAGCAAGATAGTGACAGAAAAAATGTCGGCATAAGGGTGTACATGTCCATATATATACATATAGTCATGACACAGTGTGTGGAGATTTTGTTGGGATATTCGAAAATACACGTAATGGATATTTATGAGAATAAGCAGTTCATATTACAGGTTTTTTCTGTCTTGATAGATACTTATGTCAGTTATGATGAAGATAATATCAGAGGTCGTAGTCTATGTTTGAGAAGTTCTGTACAGGTAGTGGAACACTGTGAAAATGATAGAAAAAATGACGGATGCTACATGCAGCGAGTCAGTTTGAAGTTTATTCCATTAACCAGCAAATGTGAAACTGCATTGTGTCAGCCATTTGATGTGTCGAAAATATCTTTTACTGGTCAAGAAATGTACAAAGAATACAAAATGGGATCATCAGAGTCAATGAGAACAGAGCGTGGTGGTGATTGTTTTTTAGGGCCATTTCATGAGCAAATTCTAGAACAGAAGACAGATGTCATCACATGAAGATCATCACATGTTGAAAATTGAAATGAAGTTTCAGTGTTTAAGAAAAGGCTATAAGACAGTACAAGATTATGAAATCAGAGAAGGAGTGTTCAACAGCAGTGCATGGGCTACATAAGTAGAAACTATGGCAATGGCTGACATGCTTGGATGTAAATATAATGAATATCAACAAGTAGCATGTATTGTTTGGTAAATGTTATGATAGAGAGGCTACAATGTCAGGTAGTTACAGAGAATGTGTTGGGAAGTGCTCAACCCAATGACTGACTTGTTTAAATGAGAAATGAGGTTGCACCCCTGGGTGAGGTACGTAAGTATGGTTTGAGGAAACAAGCATGAATAGGTGCAAAGTTGAACTCAGGTCAGCCCCAGGGACATCCTAAGTTACTACCCAGGGGTGCTTTCACCACAAAATGGATGTTCCATTTAGTAGAAAACAGCATTATAGGGTCACAAAAGTAAAACCAAGTACTGCCAGAATTCTGAAATTATTGACAAAGTGCTGTAAATGGCAAAGAGAAAAATATTATATGGATACCAAGCATAGAGAGAACAAATATTATGAATTCAAAAAGTAAGCACTATATATATTGGTAAGGAGCAAAAAGAAAAGTGATAAGGAAGGCAAACAGCCAGTACATGTATATGTATCATGAGGACGTAGAGCAAAGGG